TTGGCTCAGCTACAAGAGCTATACAGTAGCATCGAAAGCAAGCTTGCAACCCTCGAGGAGCAGACTGAACAAGCGCAGAAGGCCATCGCAGGCATCTCCGGACGCTTCAAGCCCCGCGTAGACGACAGTACTGACACAACGGCGACCACAACGGATGAGAATGCCATGGACACCACTACCGAAACTACTGAGAATGTAGCCGAAAAGCCCTCGGAGCCTGTCGAGGTCGAATACCCAGCCGGGCAAGCTCCCGAAGACGCCATGAACCGTCCCTACCAACTCTGGGGTGTAGCCACCCGCCGTGACGTAGTCTACATTCGACACCCTGATATAAACTCCAACACCCCCAATGCAACACAATGGTGGCGCATGCAATACGATAGTGAATCTGCCAATCCTATCATCCGGCGCGACCGTCTCTCCTTATCCGAAGTTATCGAACGCGCAACCACGGAATCCGCCTCTGCGCTCCTTGTCTATGCAAATGACGCTGCTACGACTGCCGATCCCCTTCCAATACCCAAGGCTCTCGAGGACTTTGCCAAGAAGGATAATTTGAACTTTCTGAGCGAGTTGCAGGAGAGTCGTACCGGCTGGGAAGATTATGGCGGTGACTATGGAAATGTGGTACAAGGGGGGTGGGACGACACTATGCATCCTACATCTCATGCTGATCCTTCGTTCGATGAGGGAGTGGATGAGAACGGATGGAGTGAGATTAGTGCCAAGGAGTTTTCTAGCAGTACTGGTGGTCGCCCACGCAACGATTCAAACATGAGTTCTGCGACATTAACGCCGAATACGGAAATCGAGGATGATGAGCAGCAGCAGCAAATGGTGGAGACGGGCGCCCGGGGCGTGACGACGAATATGAGTAATGCTAGTAGCGAGACTGTGGGTCGCGGGGACGATGCGATGGATTTGGATGGGGAGAGTCAGAAGTTGCAGAGTCAGGTTAGGTTTTCGGATGTGGATATGGAGGATGTGGGTGGTAGGGATGATGGGCTGAGGACGCAGCATATTGAGGTTTCGGAGAAGAAGGGTGGTTAGGATTCGCCTGTTGTACTACCGAAAAAGGAGCCATGGGGCGAGGATTGGTATCATGCTATTTAGACATGGGTTTGGGTGGGTTTGGATGGGAATGCATCGTCTGGTAGTTGGGGGTAAAAGGCATGATTGGTTAGCTGCTTGGGGTATCTGGTAGTATCCGCCATGGTTATTCTGGTAGGACCGTGGTTCAGCTTGGATGAAATGACTATTTTTCCCCTTCCTGGGGGTTTTGGTTCCAAGGTTGATCTTGGGCGTCTCGTGACTTGGTCTGCGGCTGTGGATATAAAAGCTGCTCAAGTCTTGGTGGCCTTCCTTTCTTACATATCATATTCATACCTTTTTTACCAAAATAAAGTCAACCCGAACAAGTATATGATTGCTCTGGCCTCGCTCTCCAAAAACACAGTTCGTTCTACCCATGTTCCCGGCATTCTTCCAAAAGCTCGATCTACGCCTCTCATATTCTGTCCTCTTTTCTCAACCAAAGCGGCAACCAAATTGCAGGATGTTATCTTCGTCTCGCGCGATACCAAAAATCTTCGACCAAACAGATCATGGCGAGAAGCCAGCCCTTGAGCCTATAAATTCAAAACTCGCAGCGATCTACTCCTTGTTTTCTACGTCGACATCTCGCCTATTTATTATCAAAAATTTGCCATCAAGCACCTATGTTTGTTCTTGCGCCTGTTTGTCCTTTAAAAAAAACATTCGAGGATGCCGATATGCTGGCCAGTTCCCGAAAACTCTCAACCCAAAACTCCATGAGCGACGATCTCTATTTCTCAAAATCGCCGTAGACGAACGAATGGCGCCGTTTTCGCTGTGCGAAACCAAAAGATGAATTTCAAATCGCCATGCCGTCGGCTGTCTGAGAGCCAAAGAGAAGTTTAGCAAACAACATGAAGTTTTTGCTGTCGAAAGTCCGAAGTCTGTCTACTGGAACACAACGTTCAAAGCCCTACAGGCAAGACTGTATGCGTTTGAGGTTTGTCGAGGCCATCAACAAAACAAGACCTGTTGACTACATGGTTCTGGGACTACGCAGCGGAGCCACGAAGTTACCGGATCTGGATACGCGGGTATAAAAACTCTCTCGCCAGCGCTCTTCTCTTCTTCATTACGACTTTTCTATTCATCTATTACCAAAATCAAGAAAGATACCACCGATGTTCGCTGCCTCTTCTTCCAGAAAAAAGGCATCAACTACGCAATGAGAGACTGCTCTTCCTCTCTTTTCTTCCAAAAACCTACTAGTCTTGGATCTACGAGAGCGCAATTTCCAAAACAACCCGCGAACGATCGTATGTGTGGAGGACAGACCTCTCACTCAAAATAACTGAAAAGCCACGCTATGTCGTCTACCTTCTCCTTGTTTCCGAAATATATCGTCCTCGACTCCGGCCGTACAAAATTGCTAGAGACGCTTCCTATGTGTTCTGCGGTACTCCAAGGAGGCATCAAAAACCCACATAGAGTACTCTGATAAGCTGTGTGGCTCGTCACTGCCCCCATCAGCTGAGCAAAGTGTATATAAACACCCTTCTCGAGGCGTACACTTGATCTGCTACCCTCCATCTCCAGATCTTGTACTCTACGAAACGCGGGTCCCGATGAATCATAGAGCCTTTCTCTTGTGTCTTTACAGAAAGATATGATTCAGAGCATACTATGGCTTGAGTGGACTGTCCGAAGGCAACACCTGCTGTCTCAATATCTTCCATCTCCAGCTCTTCTCAAAACACAATGGCGCGACAAAATGTCTTGCGGGTGGGCCTTGCTCTTCTAAAAGACAAGCTGACTCACGATATGCTGTCTCTCGGGTGGCTGATAAGGCTTGCTGTATGAAACAAGATGACTCCAGTACATGAGAACATATCAACCAAGCCGCCCCTTGACAAAACTAGGCACGACTGGTTCCGGCTGTCGTGGGTATATAAGCATCTTCCCAAACTGGATCTACTTTCTCGGCTACACTCGACTTCTCTGTTTACTTATCTAAAATTTTCGAAAAACCAGTCCATGGTTTGCTGGCTCCTCCTTGCCGCTGTTATCATAAAAAAAAGACGCGACGGGAGGTATGAAGTGAACGACCCCGCTGGCTGAGATATCTACCAAAACCAAGATCATTTGAACTAATGGAACGAAATATCGACCCAAAACGCACGCATGAAGGGAAGAGAGCCTCTGGGAGCTACAAAATTGGAATGTTGTCGTCAAAGCAGCCTTCACGTCATCGCGGACAAAGTCTCCGTCCTGAGCCCAATATAAAACCAACCTCAATGTCGCCTTTACACATCCATAACACATCCCTATACCAAAAACACGACAACATCAAAAATCATACAACCACTGCCATGGTTGTTCCGTTTTCCTCCAAAAGATGATGAGAAGCACATAAAATCCCGCCCTCAAAAACGGCGACTTCGACATATGCGGAGTGTTCACTTCGCTTCTCATACAAAAACCACTCCCTTCTTGCTCCTTTCCAAATCTATATCAGGCCTTTCTTCCATTGTACGAAAATTATGACAGCAACACCAATGGTCTTCTGGTTTTTTTCTTCTCAAAACTCAAGGGACAACAGCGCATGATCTGCGGACTTTTGGGGAGAGACTAGGAAACACTAGAGTACATGTCCTTAGCAACCTTACTGCCGCAAACGCAACATCTAGAAAAATATGTTGTTCCAAGGAAACTATTTAGAAGCTTTTACCATGACTGTCTCCAGTGTTGCAGTGGTGCTCAGCGCGTCGCTACTTGAGGCACGATATAAACTCCCTCCGCCCTCTCCCCTCCTAGCCTTACACTACCTAATTTGGCATCATCCTTATGCCAAAATAGCCTGAGGATTGCTCTATGGTCTCCCCTCTTCTTCTAAAACAGAAAAGGTTCAGCCCATGACTTTGCGTGTGGTGAAAGACTCCAGTGTAGTCCAGGGTTGACAAAGTGACCATGTGCAAGATCATGCTGTATTGGTCTACTCGGTTGACTTTAGAACGGGGTTTGCATCCATGTTCCGGCGATTTCCAGAAACCATGTTCGCATTCCAATAAGTGCGACCACGACGGATGCCAATGACGAACACAACTCTTTGGGCTAGCGCGCTGCTGGAAGGATGTATATAAACTTCGTCCCTTGGTCGTAGCCTTCTTCTAGATCTACAAATCCTCATTTTCTAATTCCAAAAGACTAGTGCATCGTCTTATGGCCGCCGTCTCTCCTGGCGTTTTCTAAAAACCGTCAACAACTCCGACACGTCTTCGTCACCTTTGCTCAATCAAAACAGAAAACAGATGTGTATATGGAAGTTTCGAGCCCTCCAAAAGAAAAGCAGCAGTAGAAACTTTATGAAAGGTTCGAATCTGTTGCAGAGTGGCAGATTCCTCTACACATAACGAAATGCTTGTTTCAGAAACTCAAAAGGTGGTTTAAAATACGCTCTAAGTGGATGCGTCGAGACTCGACAAAGAGCAGTTGGAAGCTTCCATGACTTACGCTTTCTTGCAGTGGTTGGTGTAGTTACATAGAGTCTTCTCCAGCTCATACCTCTGTACTGTATCTTTGCATACCTTGTTCTCGACATCAAAAACTCCGCCAAGTATGTTCCATGGCCGCCGTCCTCGAGCCCAAAACAGAGAGCACATTATACTATGATCTGCTGCAGCTGGTCTTTCCAAACCCAATCCTGTTCTTGCGATGAGTTCAGGAAAGCATTGAGAGAATGCGTCATGGAACTGCACCACAATACTCAAATAGTGCTACAGTCGAAATCTTTAAAGCCAATGTCCACGGGTGTATTTAATCGTTTTGGAGCATAAAGAACATTTGAGAAGAAAGACGATGCGAGCCCGCAACCATCGGTCGAAATTAGATTCATCTGAACTACCCCAAAAGACACATCCTTTGTTTCATGATCTTGTCGTCATTACCGCTACATCATTACGTCTCTCTTAACCCTGCATCTCAATACCACCAGATCCGTGAAGTACCTCACCAGTGCAGTACGATCCCAGCGGTGAAGCTAGATGCACATAGCATGTAGCCATCTCAACCGGCATGCCCGGCCTGTTCAGCGGGCAAGCACCAACACCAAGCGAATCCATAGCATCCGCTGGGTTGTTTTTAGTAGCCGGTTGCAACGGGGTCCAGATGATACCCGGCGCAACAGCGTTCACGCGGATTCCGTTTGGCGCTTGCTGCTGCGCAAGACCACGGGTGAAAGTAGCGATGGCTCCCTTGGTGGATGCGTAGTCGAGAAGCATGGGATTAGACATGTAGGCCGCGACGGAAGTGCTGTTTACGATGCAGTCGCCGCGCTTCATGTGCTTGAGTGCGTATTTTGACATGGCGAACATGGAGACGACGTTTGTCTGGAAGGTCTTCTCTGTTACGTCGAGGTCGATCTCTGTTATGTCTGTGCAAGCTTCTTGCATCGCAGCTGTTATACTGTTAGTATCATTCTCCAAACACGAACAAAGTAATAGGATCTTACCGTTGTTGACGAGGACGTTCAGCTTGCCAAACACCTTCATATGTTGCTCAACAGCCTGCTCGCAGTTCTTCCGCTCCCTCAAGTTGAGTTGCATGAGGTTCGCTTTGCGACCAGCCTCCTCGACCTTCTTCTTGACATACTGTGCGTCCTCCTCTTCCTCGGGCAAATACACAATACTAACATCGGCGCCTTCTCTCGCGAATAGAATGGCTACAGCTCGACCAATACCTGAGTCTCCGCCCGTGATCAATGCAGCCTTGCCCTGCATCAAGCCTCGACCCTCATACTCCTTGAGGTACGGCTTCTGGTTCTCGTCCCAAAACTCAAGACGCGACCATTCTGCCTTTTGATCTGTCTTCGCGTCGAGACCTGGGCCACCTTCTTGGTTCTGAGGTGTGATCTCTGTAGACGGGTAGGCGGTAACGGGAGCCTTGTTGTCGCTCATCTTGAAGGTTGTGTGAGTAAAGGTACGTGCAATAGATTTGATTGAAGGAGAGGAAGTGATTGGTTTCCTGAAAATGAGGTTTGAAGATCTGGTGATTGTTCTGAACATTTCTGTCGATCGCAGAGGGTAATTGTAGGGGCGGGTTCTGGTGGGGTTAGGATTTGATAAGATCGTCATCGAACGTCATCGTTGAATGTACAACATCACGTCACGACGAAGAGTCTAGACTTGTGCTCTGGAGGGCGTATATTAACCGGTGCATAGAATTACAATGGCGATGGCATGTCGTATGTGGGCGATACTCTAGCTGATTGATGGAAAGTTGCGCTCACTGCGCCCAAAGAGTTGTGCCGCTCCACGGATGTACATGTGCGCGCATATCATCCCGCTTCGAACTGCAGTCGCGCGCTGGAACAGTAAGCGAGAATTGAGAGGAAGTCCAGTGAAGTAAGCCGAAGTTCGAGCGGTGACCGCGCGATGCCTAAGAGCGTGGAATTGATGGAGTTGGAAACAGCAAAGAATGGCCCCACTTGTCACTCGGAGAAGACTTCGCGTCGCGTCGTGTCGACAACGTCCTATGAGCCCAACCGCCTTTAACGTCTTTAACGATGTTTCAAAGCTCTTTGACACAAACCTCCCACGACCAAGTCGTGCGTCGTTTCACTATCTCGTCGGCGACAATCTAGATGCCCACATTGGGATTCTGCTGTAGTAACACTGAACGGTCGTCGCATGCTGTTCTTTTAGCTCTGGTCTGGATTGCAGCTACGGACACATCAGCAATTAACCTCTGGGGCGAGCGTCTCTCACTGCTGTCATCCTCCAATTTGATCAACCCGCTTCAGGTCCAGCCGTCGGCCGAAGACGTGCGTAGTAGCGTTCTTTGGAAGACGTCCTGAGACGGATGAAAAGAGAGCAAGCTTCCGAGTATGTGTGGTTTACAGTGTGGAGTACGTGGTGCCCCCGGCAACTTTCGCAGTGGATCTTGCCCCCAATCTTAAGCATTATCAGGCCTTAGCACTTCGTCGTCTCACATCCTTGATCGATTGGAAACCCAGTCTCTCAAAGGCGGGGACTCCATTGCTGAACAACAAGCCGCTTATGACAACGATACTACAAGAAAACCAAGATCCGTTCATGCAGCTGGGCTTTGGCAGAACTTGGATTGATCCGTTCCGCCGTTCACCTGTTATTTACCTCCTCAGCGATAACTTCGCTATTGTAGATCACAGCGGGCCGATTCGCTCCGCCATTCCTGGCAATCACCGCACGCGACGGTAGAAGTCCTGATACCTGACTAAATCCCGTCTTACCCCCTTTTCGACTCCTTATGGCACAAATTCTCCCCATTAAAGCATAGATTTTGCGCTCAAGTGCAGAGAGACAACAGATACGAATTCTTTCCACAGCCAACTCGCAGGCGACTTGTCGATTCTCTATTATCGTCATGGGCCATTCAACGAGGAATAATTTGCTGAAAAAGAACTCGTCATCCTTAGCGTATCGCTGCTACAAAAAAGATGTCGACTACATCGCTGGCTGGCTCGCGTGGACGTTGAAACAATGCGGATACCTTGGAATCGATACCGAGTCGAGAGCACAACGGGATGCGGCCTTGAAGTCAGGGAAACAACGAGCATACCCTATACGTATTGTTGAGTGTGTGAAAATGGCTCGATTTATTGCTTCGTTCGATCCAAAGCTTTAAGTGCTAGTGGCGCTCCCGCAACGTCGCAACGGGAGTCACTGACTTTGCTCGGACAACTTCGTCAGTGGTTACTAGCGGGTGAGAACAATTTTTACTTTGACTGATTCGCCATACTATCCATCTGTACAACCGTCTGGAACAACATGATGACATCTCTCAGAGACAGTCCCATCTTCGAAGGTAATCAGGACGCCCTAGACTCACCGACACCACAGTAGTCCGTCTTCCCGAAGCGGCAACAGCGAGCGAACGCATGATAGCGGGCATGCCTATTCTCGAAGCAGTTTGACAGGCGATACAGCACAGTGTTTAAAGGCAAGTATCAATATAGAGGGGCAGCAGGATCTGGGCCGGTGGTTTAGGATTGGTCAAGATTTTACACTTGTGGTCCTGCGTTGATGCTCATGAACCTCGATATCTACCCAAGGCGGGAAGAGGAGGAAAAGAAAGCATCACGAGTGGGTACAGCGGTCTGGCAGGCGATGCAAGCATTTGCGACAATAACAGAGACAACTCAGAACAGCGAGGATGTCGCAGATGAGATGAAAGACAGCGGAAATTCAGGCCACGAAATTATCACAGATGAATCCGAAGCCAGTGGAGACTCGGATGGAGAAGATGATGAAGCCGACAATTTTGAAGCAATACAGGATTATGGTAGTAGTCTCGGTGTTCAACAGGTTTCGGCGATGCTCGATACGCCTGCACACTAGCGCGCTGGCTACAACAAAAACAATGGCATTGTGGGTAGCCAGTTGTCAAAGCCGACGTGTTCCCTTACCCGACAGAGGGTCCAGGACGACTGGTAGAGCGCCTTCACCTGCACCTTCGCCTGCGCCTCGCAGATCTTGTCGCGTAGAGTTACCACCTTTGCGCGAGAAAGAAACATGTCTGCGCGATAGCTACGAAAGAAGACGCACCCGAACTATGTGTATGGGACCCGGGTCGATATGATGTGAGTGTGAGACCGATAGTGAACATGAATACCAAAGCAGTAAAAGAGGAACGCCAATGCTTGGGAGCATTATTCGAAAACAACGACTTCCCGGAACGTGACATCAACGACGCTGTCGAGGCAAGACGATTTCATGATTGGAGATTTGAAGAAGGAAACACTGAATAATTGAGCACAGATTTGCTGACAAGATGCTGAGGTGATGTAGCTTCTCACTGTATGTACTCGACCACAATCTTAGTACGTGTGTATTTGCTCACGATGCAATCAACGGCGTCGGAGCAATCGCCGTTGCAGCAACGGCATGACGACACTTTGAACGTACCGACTGCTGACAAGTGCTTCCTGGAGCTTGATCGAACTCGGGCTTCTCATCTTCGGTATTTCTTACACTTCCAGGAGCTTTTCACTAAACCCTGCCGCGGACTGCAAGTCGGGGCGGTAATGACGTCGTCGCATACCACAGAGTGCACCTTGAAAAGCTGCAGGAAACGTCGATCAAAGCCAGTGCGGTCGTAATATTGACGCTCACGATGGGATTTTCGTGGTAGCAGGGCAGAAAATCAATACTTGGGTGCATTTCTCGCCTGCAGAGCCGTGCCGGACGACGATCCTGCAGTCATTGTCGCAAAAGGCCTATGGAATCGCTCATCAAAAGAAAACATCATGCAGGCTGTCGAGAGCGGGGTGTCTCTGGATGAACAAGGAACTTGTCGACGGACTTGCTTTTGATGCTCGATGGTACAATCGTACGACTATTGGCCAACAACAAGGCTGCAAATTGCAAATGGAGAGCGCCACCAAATGACGCTGGGAAAACACCCGAATCTTCTAGGTGTTGACCAAGAAATTCTACGTTTGCCAGCATGTTTTCGCTTGTTCAAACCGGAGAAAAAGATGGCAACCAAGGCTGTTGCAGTACGGATATGATGGTAAAGAGGTGTCGGTACAACGGAGCGCTGGTTGGCTATTTGCGACATTACTGATCATTTTGCTATTTCGCTTTGACAAGTCTTACACGTAAGTAAGTTTTGCCGACACCGCAACTATCCCGTACCGAGCGCTACTACGGCATCGTACACTTTGCGGGAAACGCTCGCATGCATCTGCATCGTCCGGATCACACGGGTGCACAACTCAAGGAGGAAGGTCAAGCCTGCTCGTGGCGACTTGTCGATCCCTGAGCGGAGTACCAGCATCTGGGCCACAGAGGAGGAAAAATACCAAGGCTTTTCGGCAGTGCTCATGCGTGTACCTCGTATTACCAGGAAGGCCGGAAAGCGTGCTATGGCTACAATCTCAAATGTGTGTTCGGTGGGAGTTCGTCAGGGTGCATTCTTTGAAACATAGCACGACTTTCTCTCGAAACACCCGTACGTTTTCGTCGCAGAAGTGAACCACAGTTTGTGCATGCGCCCGGCATGTGTTGGGAGGCGATGGGCCTTGTCGATAGGCTGTTTATCGATAGCCCTCTGGTGGCTGAAACAGCGGCGCTGTGCGGCAGCGGAAGCCCCGTATACACCCCTGCTTCCACGACTCACAGCCGAATGGCGATCCGACCACGAGAAAAACAGCCCAAGTCATTTCAAACGCAAATTCACATGACATCACAGCGATCTGATTCGTCGTTTTGGTTGATTTAGGTGATCTCGGTATTCTCCGAGATCCACCGAAATTCTTTGAGGCTTCTGTGTCCGGGCTTCGGTATACGAGAGTGCGTATGCCAACTCCACTCGGGGATGAGCATAGCACAGCAGGCTGAGACACCGCCAGCGACGTGACAATATTAGCACGATGCAAAGAGAAGGGGTATGCTTCGTCATCTTTACAGCTGACATACGCGCTCAGATGACAACCCGCGGTAGCGAGTGTGTTCTCCAACACACCAGGCGAACCCAGTCGTCGTAACGAACAGACTAGTCCTCTCGTACCTACATTAGCGTCAGGCACACTCTCCACATGCTGAGCGCCGGCGCAGCTCTATGGTCAGCACGACGCACGTCAAAGACATCAGAAGCGACCGTGCAAACCCCTCACGGCCGCCGGGAAAGGCGGGGCGAAAAGTAAGCGCCTTTGAAATGATGTTCTGGACGTTGGCTGCATCTTGGCTGAGTCTTGCTGCAAGTGTTCATAAGGACTGCTCGCCCTTGCTCAACGTATCCTCCACGCTCTCAACAAGCAAGTCACACTCTCTTCAGTCATTCATTGACCAGTCATTCTTTCTATAGCCCGGTGCTATCAACGAGTCACTCACTTTCTTCACATTCTTTGAACATATAACCACCCAAAAACTCTTGCAAAGAAACCTCATCTTATAACCAACAAACGAATCAACCATGTCTATGTCCAAGATTGTTCAGACCGGCGCTCTTGTAGCTGCCCTCATCTCTGCCGTGGCCGGCCACACCTCCGTCGAGAAGTTCGAGGCTGGAGGAAAGACTTACGAAGGTTTCCGTCAGGCCTCCAAGCAGGATCCTGGTAACAAGTCGCCTGCTTGGTGGACCAACCAGGGCTGGGGATACCAGCCCATCTACGGCAGTGAGATCAACCAGTATGTCCACCCCCAGTAAATTCTTCTTTCCATGTACTGACTGAATTCTAGGCCCGACATCATTGCCCACAAGGATGCCTCTCCTTCCCCATACACCGTCGAAGCCCCCGCTGGCGAGCCCGTAAAGTTCACCTGGCACCACGAGGGTACCTGCGGCGCCGGCGAGGAGGGCTGGGACTGCTCCCACCACGGCTGGACAGCCACCTACATGGCTCCTTGCAACGGCGACTGCAAGAACGTCGACAAGACCGAGCTTGAGTTCTTCAAGATCCACCAGAGCGCGCTCATCGACTACCGCAAGGGCCGCTACTCTTCCGGCGGCGACCCTCAAGGTGAGGTCGGCTACTGGGGCACCGACGCCATCTTCTACGACAACGGCAACACCCAGAGCGTCACTATCCCCAAGGAGATCCCCAGTGGCAACTACGTCCTCAGGACTGAGGTCGTTTCCATCCACAACAACGGCCCTGTCAGCAACCGCCAGTTCTGGCCTCAGGCCTTCAACATCAAGGTCACCGGCGGTGACGACAGCCAGAAGGTGCCCGCTGGAAAGAAGGGTACCGAGCTGTACCACTCCAGCGACAAGCTCCTCCAGTGGGACCTCTACTGGCATGAGGCTGGTGAGACCATCCAGGATGCGCCCGGTCCCAGGCTCGCCTCTGTCGCTTCCGTCAACAAGCGTGCCCACGCCCGTGACTTCACTGCCTCTGCTTAGGCACCTCTTTCTACTTTTTCTTCTTCTTTCTCCATCTGCTTAGGGATGGCTGGTTGTATGCTACAGGAACTTAGCTGCGCGGTTTACAAAAGGTGTATATGGGCATAGGTTGGGGTTTAGAGGCTATCGGGACAGGTACTTGGGCTTTCTTCTTCTACACCATCGATTATCGGTGGACTGGGTCTTTCGGACACGACGGCTGTGCTACGACCATTTACGATTCACTTCTTGGATACCTTTAGGCATTGTGACAAATGCATGTTTTGAGCAATGCGCTCACCCCTACAATTGTTCATATGTTTGCAATATCGTGACGACGTGCGTTTGTAACTTGCGGTCTTGACCCAACTATACACTGTCATGGTCTTTCATCAAATACGCCTCAAATCTAACCCCTTCACCACGCGCCATCGGTATCCAGACGAGGCAGAGCCTGCTCTACAAGATGTACACTCGAGCTGGACTATAGTAGTGTTCGCTCGGGATCTTCACGCCTCTTCTGTCATCGACCCAGTTGACGCTCATAGTCCACGCATGGAGGCGCATCATCAGTATCCACCATATGTCTTCATACGAGATATTCTTTTTGGGATCATGGAACCGACTCCTCTTCATACCCTCCACAAATTTGGGTACATTTTCGGCGTAAATATAAGCGCGCTCTTTGAAGATTGGATCTAGACTGTCCGGAAGCGAGTCATTTTCCCGTACTACCTTGTTCTTGACATTTTTCTCGGCTTGTTCAACACTGTGTGCGTTAACGGAGATGTGCGCACTTATAAGTAGTTCGTATGTCCGATCAGAGAAGTCTGGGTCAATGGCTTTCGAAGTTCCATCAAAGTATGCTGTTGTGTCGTCAAACGCCTTCTTGAAGAATGTGAACTGACGATCTGATGTCGTGTAAAGCCGGTAGTTATTCACGAATCTTTGAGGATCATGGAGTTCCCAGTCGTCGTAGAACTGCAGCACTCGCTTACGCGTATCTGAGAGCGATGACTCTTGTTTTCTAAGCTCCGACCTCCAAACGTGACGTGACTCTGGTCTTTCACCCATCGTTGTTAATGGGAAGGGAAATGGGTTGTCGATTTTGTTCGTACCAAGGCTCTCGAGGAGGATCCAATTGCCCCATAATCCCATGACGTCCGTGAACGCGGGAAGTCTATGAGCCGGATCTGGATGCGACAAACTTGCTTCTAAAGCTATTTTGGCATCCCCATATATGTCGAGAACTGAAAATGGTTGCTTGAGTTCCAAATCCTGAGGCGATTGTGTAGTCCTCAAAAGTAGATCCCTGCCCCTGACCGTATTGCGCTTGGCAGGTATGATCCCACAGGTCATCTTATGCTCGTAAGCTAGGTTTGCAAGTAGGCAACGCCTTGTGACATATCTTGAATAGTCCAATGTCGCATTGGGTGCTTCAGAAACAGTAGCTTGGGGATCAACCTAGCGTTCAACAAGGGTGCTCACAGATCGTTGTATCCATGGATGAAACATGACGTACCTTATCAGCAGCGACACTGAGTATACTATCTACCCCGTCCCAAATTCTATAGGACCCGTTCCCACTATACTCAACGACCAGCCCCATACCGCGTACTATCGATGCGGAGAAGCTTCGTCCGTTGCCGCTAGCACGCATCTTGCCTTCATCAAGTCGGAAGTCTGACCATATCATACCTAAACGATATGCCATCGTGATTAGATCGCCCACTGTTGTGCTAGAGACTGGTCGCACGATATCCGGCGGCATGAAGTCCCAAGAACGGGTTTTCCCTATGAAAGTTATTTGCGAATCAGTATATCTCAGCACACTCTGACCTTCGAAAACCTACTTGTGATACATATGGGTGCTATATCACTGTTCCAATACCATGGGGGAACATTGTAGTCTACACGGAGACGAAGTTCGACAGACTGGCAGCTGTGGGCATCGTTCAGTAAAGCTACCCACGTAGGAACATCGTCTCCTGTACTATCTATGCGTGTGTAAGCCTTGTGTTCGGCCGTCGCTGTTTTTGTAACTCTACCAAAAAATTTCCTTCTGTCATCAGAGAAAGTGCCCCGGCGCGAACCTTGAGTACCCAGGAGTGGTGCTGGCTTCCAAGGATAGGCCAGGTATCGTGACTTTAGTGTAAACAAAGACCAAGGAAACTCTGGAAGGGGCTTATTCTGGTCCAATAGAAAAGACTCGCGCTCTTCGAAATCAGCCATTGGGCGAATCTCGAAGTGAGGTGTCGTGACCTTGACTTCATATCGAAATGAGCTCCTACTTAAATCAGCACATCTGAGACCGATCTTGGTGCGGCCAGTACATGATCAGCACACTCACCACCGGAACTTCAATTCTACCAATTTATACCACTCTCCAATGACAGAAGGCTGGCATCTGCGGTAACCGTCTGCAGTCGAAAATAGCTGGGCGATAAGTTGACCGGCTGCGATGACCAAGGCTGAGATCGCTATAGCCAACGCAGCTGTCGCCACGTCGGTTTCGCTGACCATGTCGCTATGTGTTTGACGAAGAACAACGTATATATCTTCTAGAATATTGGTATGAATAACTCTAAACAATTATCAGGTCAAAGCTGTTGAAAGTGAGGGGTTGTCAAGTCATCAGGCTGAGGCGTTGATGAGCTGATATGAAATGTCAGCCTGCTCGCTCATGCAAGCCATTGCCTACGCATGGAGTCTGGCTTGTTTTGGCCCCCATCGGTTGTCTATCGTTAAAAGGTCTCAGATTATATGCAGCGTTCTAATTCGATCCGAGACCGTTGTTATGCGGAGGAGCCACGGCCCCTTGAGACCTGTCAGGATAAGCGCCAGCACCCCGCTCCTGTCGTCTCGTCCCACCTCAGCCCCGCCATCAGCATGCTCCGGTTACGCGGAAGAGCTGTTGAAGCTATTGAATCCTTCGATATGTTACTTCGTCATCATGATCATGCTAACCGCCCCTTGTTTTCAGACTTTTGATAGTTATATAACCGTTGTATACCTCAAATTAGCTAATCATGATACCGCGATGATGGTTTAAGGGTAAAATCCAAGCTTCCCACGCTCTATACGTTGCCTGCTTGGGCTCCGGGTTCGAGTCCCGGTCGTCGCAAAAAACCTCATGATTTTTGCTCCTGAAGTTTGCCCTTAATGTGTTGGTGAAGTTCGACTGTCTGTCCAACTCAAGTGTCTCAAAGCAGGAGGGCTTCTCTTTTTGCCTGACCAGTCGTTATGACAATTCTCAAACAGCGTCGTAAGAAAGAAGCATATCGTCCTGAAAGGAAGTCAGTGGTAAACAACGTAACGAACATGTTAATGAATATTGTGCGAAAGAAGTTGGACTCGACCATGCGGCTGATGTGGGGTTCAGCAGCCGCCCGTAGCGCTGCGTCATCGCTCCCGAACACCATCCAGAAGCTCACAGGGCTCCAACAACACCAGAGCAACTCCCCACCTTAGCCACTCGACCACCCAACATGGCCTCCAAAATCGAGAAGACGCTTGCGCGACAACGCGAAAAGTAATTGGTCCCGTTCTTATCGCACGTAGCGCAGACGACTAACCCCACCCAGAATCGCAGAAGGCCAATTCTACGAAGCCCACCAACAACTCCGCGTAATCGCTTCCCGCTACACAAAAGCCTCAGACTGGGCGTCTGCAACCTCCATCCTCCACTCTGGCGCGCTGTCCCTCCTCCAAGCAGGTCAAGGCGGCTCAGGCGGCGACCTCTGCATATTCCTCCTCGATGTGTACAACAAGGGGGAAGTGAAGGTAGATGCAGAAAGCAAAGGACGACTACTAGGCCTTCTGCGTGCTTTTCCCAAGGATGAGCCTACAAAGAAGAAGTTTGTGGGTGAGATGGTAGCGTGGAGCAGTCGATTTGGCGATTACCCAGCTGGTGACCCAGAAATACACCATGTCGCTGGAGGACTATACGCAGAGGGTATGCACAAACCTAGCCCCCATAGCAATAGCAGGGGATACTGACACAAGAGCCAAATAGACCTCGAGCCCTACGAAGCAGAACGCCACCTCCTCCTCGGCACCCAAGACAGCGCCTCAACCCTCTCCTCCCTCCACTACTCGTGGTACACATCCGACGCCCCGCACACCGCGCCCCTCTACGCCGCCCGCGGCATCCTGCCTTACCTCCTAACCGGCAACCTACGCGCTGCGAACAAACACTACCTCCTCTTCACTTCCTCGCTGCAAAAAGCACCGAATCCGCCTACCCAGCCCGTCAGCACAAAGTCCTCCGACTTCCGCGTATACCCCTCGTTACCGTTGTTGAATTTCCTCGGATTGTTGCTGTTGAGCGTGGAGAGGGGCGATCCGAGTTTGTGGAGGCAGCTCAAGAGCCATTATGCGGGGGATCTCAAGGAGGTGAACTGGAACGAGGCGTTGGATCAGATTGGCGAGATGTACTTTGGGATCAAGATTCCGAGGCAGGGGAACCCCATGTTCGACATGTTGGGGAGTATGTTCGGGGGAGGCATGGGAGGAGGAGGTGCGGCGGCGCCGAAGAAGGCTGTTGGTGGTAGGCCGCCGGCTGCTGGTCTAGATTAAGGAAGGAATCACAAAGAGGTGGCGTACAGACGGATGCGATATCACAATAGGAAAAGATACCACTTTCAGAAGAGAATTCAGACATGGAAGCGATTGATGTTTTCATTCAGTCATCTCAAAGCTCATTGGCTTTTGTCTATACCATATCATGATCACCGTTTATCTGCCTTCCATTGTGCATCACAGGCGACTTCCTTACAAAGGAACAGTCTTCTCCTTGAACACAACACCATACTGCTCCTCAAGTGTCTTCATCAATGGGGCGCAGATCTCTGGGCTCATGGGAGCCAGGATACCCTTCTCGCTCAGGGTACCGTCGAGCACCTGCTGGACGGCAACGGCGCAGGGTACACCGACAAGCTTAGCCATGGCGGAGTAACCCTTGGGGTCACCGTAGTCGGCTAGTGTGCAGGTACGGACAGACTTGCTGCCGTCCTTGTTCTCAATCTCGAACCTGTGCTGGAGCATGACCATGTCACGCTCGTCGTTCTCGTACTGCATCTTCTTCTCGAGAGTAGCGCAGAGGGTGTCGAGAGGGTTACCACGGGCCTCAATCTGCTCGTCGGAGATGAGACCAATCCAGCGGAGACCGGTGATGATGCGGTCCTTCTCTTCTGTGCTAGCGAACTTTGTCTTGGAGGAGATGGCCCAGATAAGGTCCTCGTCCTTGTCGCCGGATGCGCCAATGATCTTGGCGGTGGCATCGCGCCATGTGCGCTTCTCGCCCTCCTTGAGGAAGTCCTTGGGGTCCTCGGACAGGAAACCAATGTCGACGAGGCACTTGATGTACTCTGGGAAACCCTGGTATCTCAGTGTGCCGCGGATGATGGTCTGACACTCGGGAATGTTGTAGCGCTCCTTGTAGGGGGTGGAGTCACGGTTGGGGTACGCGACAAAAGCGTAGCCGGGGTAGATGAAGTATGGCTTCGCCTCAGCCATGAGCTCGGGGCCCTCAACAGACTTGACCTTGCCATCTTGGTAGAAGGCAGCCTGGTTACGGAGTGCGAGAAGCACACCGCGCGAGCTCCAGGAGAACTTGTAACCGAGCGGGTTGTCTGAGCACTCTGGTGCGGGGAGACCACCGCAGTATGACTTGAATGACAGGATCTTGCCACCGGCCTTGTGGACCTCGTCGATGGTGAGGACAGCAGAGAGATGGTCGACACCGGGGTCAACACCAATCTCGTTCATGACGGTGATACCAGCCTCCTTGGCTTGTGCGTCGAGCTCCATCATCGCTGGGGAGACGTAGGAGGTTGTGACGACGTTCTTCTTCTTGCGGATCGCCGACTTGATGACGGTCGCGTGGAATGTGTAGGGGATGAGGGAGATTACGACGTCGACCTTGGCGACTTCAGCGTCGAGAGCGTCGGCATCGTTGACATCGAGCTAGGATTTGTTAGTACTGAGCAATGCAGATGCGAGCAATATGATCGTACGCTGATGGCGTTGGTGTTGGGGATACCCTTGGCCAGGTCTTGAGCCTTCTGAAGAGTACGGCATGCTACTGTGACCTTGACACCGGACTTTGCGAGGACGTCAACAGTGGGTCGTGTGCTGTGGTTGTTAGATTGATAAACACTGGGATGAGTTGGTAATTGACTTACACGAAACCAGCACCGAGCAAGAGAGCGGTCCTGCCCCCCCAGTTAGCTAAGTTCTACCAGAATAAATATTCAGCGACCACCTACTTTCCGCTGTATGCTCCAGCAGCAGCCCCGCTGACGTTGCCCATAAGGTTCTGAACTTTGTCTATGCCATCAATTAGTCGAAGTTCGCCTCAATCATGCACTTGACTTACTTGTGATGGCCTCCATGTTGTGTGATTTGAGAGTAATTGCCAAGATGCGAAAAAGTTTGGGGAAGATTATATCTTTGGCGTTGACTCCGGATCGGAGTAGAGAGAAATCGGCGGGGTTACTCCGTCATCGCTCCAGAAAGTGGGGCGCGCGCGGCGCGTCGCGCAGATCATTGGTCTCTGCAAAGCCATGAACGTTCCGAACTTAACCAAATTCTAGATGTTTCGCGCGTGGAGAAATGTGAAAGACCATCCCTTTCTGCTGTGATTGCTGGACATGACATCGGCGGTTGTGTATGCACTTCAGTGGAATATTCTGCTGTGTACACTCGACAACGATCAATACATCCGACCTCAGACTTCGCTGCTTCAGTTCGGTACGTCGAAGTTGAAGCTAAAGGTAACTGAATCACAGCAGATACACATACAACCATGATCCTTTTTCAATTCATTGTAGCTGTTTGATCATCGCGCTTCGGTCTCAAACATTTGAACCTCAGAAGGGAAAGTGGGTCTTATGAGCTGCGCCAAGTCAGCTAAGTTACTTCCGTATTAGCGTTATTTCCACCGACTTGCCAGGTACGCGTTTCATATGCGACGACGACGAGCAACATCAACCACAACATCAGAACAGAACTAGACATAGCTACGACCATTGTGACCTGATCTTCGTTCGATACTTGACGTGTTTTGCGATCGGACGCGACATCTCGTACCAGGCAACCGCCATCATGCCTTCAGCCTTGGACCCTGATGATGACTTGTGGATGGCCATCAAACAAGTAGATGACCCCAATATACATGTCTATGTGCTATAAGTTCTGACGGAAATAGATCTCCCAATCATCCGTGGGATCAGATTACATCGACCAGCTGATCCCCATCATGAAGGACCCACGCTACTCAAACCAGCTACAAATCACATTTGACCGCTATGCCAACGATCGGGAAAGCGAGATTGAGCGAATATGCAATGCGAATCATCAAGATTTCGTCAGTTCAGTCGACTCACTACTCAGAATACGAGACCAGACTGTGCAGATGAGTGGCGAGATCCTGCAGCTCAACGAGTCGATCCAAGAAAGCATTGAGAAGCTGGCGGAGCAGAAAAAAGCTCTCGTTGATTCGCGAGGCGTGCGTCAAAACATCGATGAAGCATCTCAAGCCCTGAACGCGTGTTTAAACGTACTGCGAATCGCCAATGCGGTCCAAGATATGCTGAGGGAAAAGAACTACTATGCAGCATTACGAGCGCTAGACGAGCTGCAGACGATCCATTTGAAGGAAATCAACCGTTTTAAGATCGCCAATTTGATCGAAAAATCTATACCGCAAACCCAAGAACAAATCAGAGAAGCAGTCAAGAACGATTTGAGTACATGGCTCTATCGCATCCGCGAGTCGGCGCAATTCTTGGGCGAGGTCTCATTCTACTACACCGATGTACGTAGGACGCGCAATCAAGAGCGCGCCGAGGCCGACCAACGCTTCTCGAAGTTCAAACTGAACTCAGCAATCGAACTTGTAGCCGATGAGACAGACGAGTTCGACGTGCTAAACAATGAGGAAGCTGGAAATGAGACAGACTTCTCGCCGTTATTTGAGGCGATGCACATCAATGAGACGCTCGGTAAGAGCGATCAATTCAGATTAGAGTACGCCTCGGATCGAAGAACTCAGAAAGACCTTATCATACCGAACAAGCTCAACTTGCTGGATGAGGAGTGCGGCGACTTGAGCAGCTTGTTAGAGAGCATTGCTGGTTATGCGATCATCGAGAAGGCTACTATGTCGAAGACTCTCAACCTGCGGTCACAAGCTGATGTACGAAAAACTTGCTCACTTGCGTAAAGCATCGCTAACGCGTGTACAGGTCGACGAATTATGGGACTCAATGTGTCAAAGCGCCATCAATCTCATCACTAGCCAACTCCACACCGTCGAGAACGACGAGCTGCTCCTAAAGATCAAGGGCCGTATTGCGCTTTTTATGCTGACAATGGAGGTTCGTGACGTCCCGACATCATCACTGCATTGCGTGTGCTAACCACATTCGCAGAAATGGGGCTACTCCGTATCTGCAATGAACGACCTTCTCTTAACGCTCTTCTCCAAATACTCCACCCTCCTGAAACACCGCTTCAGCGAGGACTTTCTCGAGATTGTACACACCGACGACTACATGCCTATGCCGATCAACTCGAGCGAAGAGTATGATAAGGTTGTTTCAGTATCCTGGTACAACCCTCCGGCCTCCAACGAACCACTCACATTCCCATGTGTTCTACCATTCTCTCAGATGTACCCGCTATGTTGCATCGATATTCGGAATTTCTTGAATCAAATCTACCTGTTCAGCGACGACTACTTCCAGAAGAGTAGTATCATTGATGAGACGTTGAGGACGAGTCTGGATGAGCTACTGTGCGAGAAAGTCTGTGGTAGTCTCATAGAAAAGCTCGCCAGTCAATATCCAGGACAGATTGTCCAAATCTTGACTAATCTGGAACACTTCGAGAATGCTTGTGTGGAGCTACAAGATCTGCTCTTCGAAGCGCGCTCTTCACCATCAGCGACAGGCCCTATCGTCCTTGCGGCAACGGAACGTTTCGCGAAAGCCAAGAACACCGCCTCAAACCGCGTCTTCGAGCTCGTGAATAGCAAGATTGACGACTTGATCGAAACAGCAGAGTACGATTGGATGGCTACCAAACCGCAGACTGAACCTTCGACATACATGTTGGAGCTGACTAGGTATCTCTCCAACATAATGTCTTCGGTGCTTCTAGCCCTGCCGACAGAGATTAAGGAATTCATCTACTTTGATGCATTGTCACATGCTTCCACCGCCATCCTCGACCTCCCCCTCGCCGATAACATCAAACGCATCTCCCCTGCTGCTGTTGCCACCCTAGCTGCTGATACCACCTTCCTGAGCGAATTCGTCAGCTCGCTCAACAACCCTATCTTGATGGAGAATTTGGACGAGTTGACACAGACTGTAGCATTGATGGGCACGGATAACGAATTGGAGTTCTACGACATCGCACAAAGGAACAAGAAGTACAGTAAGGTTGACCAAATCAAGGGCGCCGTCCTACTTGAGAAGGTACAGGAGGGGGCACAGATCGCAGCACAGAGCCCAACGGTAACCACCGGTAGGGAGCGCTTCGGTACTATAGGTTCTAGGTTCGGTATTCGGTAGAGTGAGAGTTGCATATATCCACATAAGGTTTACCAGCAAGAAGAGCGACGGAATACGTGAGGCGAAAAGCATCGAATACATTCTATGACTTGATACAAACTCTCCAAACGCCGTGAAGACAGCCAGGCCTGGCCGTCAGGTATCGTCCCATATCTGTCGCTGATAGTATATATACATGCATGAACTCAAACACGAGACTCAAACCATCTACTCGTCGTCATCCTCTTCTTCCCTTGCAACAACAACACCCTCATCCCACTCCTCCCCTTCGTCCAATGCCCCACTAAATTCATCCGCCAAGGCTAGTTCATCACTCGCGCTCAAAACGCCTTTGACATCGCTCGAAGCGATCTCCTCGTAAACAGCTGTTATACCGGTAATTCTGCATACGCGAGCTACACTCGCCATCATAACGAGGCCAAGCACGGCGAACGGTCCTACGGCAACTAGTTGGCTAAACTGACTATGAAATAATTAGCATCCATTAAACTCAATGCATCTTCCAAGCGGAATCAGAACAGGTTTGGAAGGATAAGAATGGTAAACATACTAGTACCACGTATGCACAGCTCCGCGATCCCAAAACCTCAATCGCGCTTCGATTTTGCCTTCGCGCTCTTTTTTGGGGCCGTGCAGAAGGTCTTGGAGTAGGAGGGTGATTTGCTTGCGGAATCCGTGGAGACTTTTCCACCATGTGCTGCGTTGGTGCTGGTTTCGGTTGCGCGCGAAGATGTTGTTGAGCAGGGTGTGGATGTCGTGCAGCTGGGCTATGTCATGGGGAGATGCTTTCATCAAGACTGTCGCTGTAATGACCGGAGTGGGAGTAGTGGTAGATGAGGCCATGATTGACGGGTTGGGTGGGTGATGTGGGAGGGTGGACGTTGCTGTTGCCATTTTTGGGGTAGACAGGGAGATATTTTATGGAATGCAAATTTGCTGGGTAAGGCGGATTTTTGAGAGCGTGAAGAAACACAGGCGCTGCTGTCGTGGAATTGGTGTGTTGTTGGTTTGGGGCGGATGTACGCTGCCGTGTTCTGTATAGGGCCGCGGATATGGGGTGTGTGCGTGCGTTGAACTGAATGTCGTATCCACGAAGGATAATATTACAAGTTCAATACAAGCAACTATGCGCGAAAGTGCCCAATCTGGAGTTCAGATATAATATGACGTTATAATTGTAGTGTTTGATTGTCGCGGTAGAGGCTATGTGCATGCTTTCATGGAAGGGAACCTTGGAGAAAAATTTTACGCGCGGACTTGGGACAACTAGTTTTTCTGATGACCGTAAGACGAAAAAGTGACGATGAAGACGAAAAGAAGTGAGGTTGTTTTGCACATGAAAGGGAGCGAAGGGTCTTTGCGGCGTATCAAGGAGAGAGGTCTTGGAAATTCGGCGCGATGTTCCTGAGCGCGGTGTCAAGTGACAAGACGACCAACGGGACAAGTCCTGGCTTAATTTAGGTAACGCACACGTGCGCTGTAGTTGATCAAACGCTGAGCTTGAGGTATAGAATAGATGATGGACGTCTGGAGATCTCCCTGTTGCTATTTATGCTTCTTCGGCCATCATTGAGCATTCGTCAAGCCCTAGAGAGAGGTAGATGTTCTAGCCACGAGGACAACGGTACTACCCACCTTTCCTCCTGAGTGGTGAGAGTCTCGCTATGGGCAGCGATTTTGAGTTGTCTGAGGTAATATCGAAACCTTTGAGTCCTCCTGTACAACGGAGTCGGAAGCTACGAGCCTACGGGAGGGGGAGTCTAGGGACGCGGCTTGGTGGGGGATGCGGATGACACTTTCTAGAGTAGTACAGCTCTTCAGCTGGGTCTTCCATTATAGGGGAAGCTGAGGTCTTCATGCGAAGTATTCCGTCGTGTATCTGTATCTGACACGTCGCGCCGTGGAGTGGACAAACAACGTCGAGCTGTGTGGTAAAGGTAGATAGGGTCATACAGAAACATTCGAGGGCTTTGCCGAGTCCCACTATAGTCACATCACCCTCGAAGACCTCGATAGTCGTTATGTGACCTGTCTTCAATGATCTATGTCGTGCAGTCTTGTAACGATATCCTCTGCACCGTTGAGCTTACTGCATGTGGCTGCAAGCGCGATTCTGGGAGGCTGGTAGCTGTCCAGACCCCTTGTCTTGCGCTCCGATATTGAGATTCTTTGTGGGGTAAGCTTCGAGCCTCCTTCAACAACACTGCCTCAACCACACCACCAACGCGATGACACTCAACACAACCCCTCGCTCATTCAGACTCACGCAGCTAGTGGAGCGAGCTCATGTGAACAAGAGGATGAGGTGATGAAGCTTCGTCAGGCGCGGTGCCTCATGGTGCGCGCTTCTGGGATTCAATTCTCCCAAGCAAGTACCCGCGCCGCTTCAACACCACCACCTTCGGACCATCGCAAAGGTAGTGCCAGAATCACTGTGGATCTGATGATCTCTAGACGAGCTTCGTCCGCCGCAAGGTCTCTGCCATGGTCGTGATCGACTGTAGCTTTGCTGGCGGCTCGAGGCGGACTCCCGACGCAAGCTTTGTCTTTGCTAACAACCCACAACCACAACACAGGCAATGAGAAGTCTTCTCGCAAGCTTTCCAGCTTCCTCAGCAAGTCCAGAGCAAGCTGTCGATGGTATAGAGGCCTTTTTGATTGACTCGGCCTGCGACATCTTCGCCAGCCAGCGCATGGACACAGACGCGCGACAAGCCCAACTTTTGACCCCTCTAACCCACATCACCCACAACAGGACCGATGGAGAGCACTGCCCTGTTGCTTGGGCTTACTTCGATAAACCGCGTACGTTTTACGACATCCTCATCAGCCTTGACTGAGGAGGCTTCACCGGCGCATCGAGGCACACCCCCGAAGCATTGATATCGTAACCCCTCAATCATAACGACGAGAGCTTCGAAGATCGACACACCTACACAAACAAGGCTTTGGACGGAGGGCTGCAATCACCCAGCTGCCCTGTGCCTGGCGCGGTCCGCGGCTGCTTCGCTGGCAACCTAGGGGCTTTTCGGGAGGCAATGGTCACCCTGCCATGCCATGCACGGCGACGACGAACCTGGCGAACGTGTCTCTCCAAACACGCCTGAAATCAAACCGAGGAAGCTGCATGAAGGCCGCTGCTGTTGCCTATGTCAGCGCCGTTTCTAAAGTGGGTAGTTTTGGCGACCTGCTGAAGCGGACTTCCGCCGCCCCAAAGACAAGCAACAACCACCACCACGGTAAGCAACATTGGATGACCATGTTTGAAAAGCATTGGCTCTACACAGCAGCGCCTTGTCTCCTTGATCCATGCAGGAATCCTCTCCGTCGCCGTCGTACTACCCAAAACTCCGGGGCCAGCAAGCACCCGATGTCGAAGCAAACAATCCTTGCTGCATACAATGCCTCGAAGCGACGAGTATAATCAGATACCTCGATCTCGGATATCTGTCCTCAACCCCGCGGATGTATACCCCGGACGTACAACATTGCGAAGCGGTCGAACCTTTGCGGATGCGTATTGACCCACGACTGTATGAACCGTCTGCAGCATGTCCCATGACAAATCGCCTGTACGTCGATGACACACTTCTATTGCGATGTCTCAAATGGTGAGAGACAAGGGGATATGCACAGCAATATCGCGTGCACAAAGCATGTGACATCCTGCTAGAGAGAGGTACAACAGCAGACATGGGTCACCTGAACGCCTGACGTTATTGATGGTGGCAGCATCTTTACAGATGTATCGAGATCTGACACCTGCTCGATGTGCGACTACTCCACTGTCGTTTTCCAGGGATTTGCCTCCAAAGCCGCAGCATACATTACCGGACATACTCAAAGTTGCTTTGGGTTGACGCTGCTCTCGCAGGTTCCTCATGCTTCGCCATGAACCATAGGAGCCTTCTGCGGATTACTCTTGCAATCTTGCACCAGCATCATAATGGTTCTAGGGTACTACGTTGGCGCGTCGAATTAACGAAATATGCGGATCCTGTAGGGACCCATCTCCGACCTCGCAACACTCGCCTGGTGCTTTTGATGCTCGGGTTATGAGTGACTTCGGCCCATGACATCGAGCTCGACGGATATCCCAGTAATTCCGTAAAGACTACCATAGAGCATCAGACTTTCGAGAGCCATGGCGCCTTGAGAATAACGACCGTTGTCGTCTAAAAGCTGCGTTGGTCCCCAGGAAGTTGACGACGTTGAGCTGCAGGCGCGCTGTCATATGCCGGTGCTACCGTAGCATAGACGCAAACCTCACAGCAATGAGCGACTGAAGATGAACTAAAAGAGCATGGTGTTAGTCGGGCCATCAGTAGCATCATTGTTCTGAGACGTCATGGCTAGTGTCAACCTTTGCACCGTTACAAGGAATCATCGCTGGGAGTTAGCAAACACGAAAGACATCTGCTCTGGTTCAAGTCGGCTACGGTGCTTTCCGGCCCACTTGCAAAGCAGCGCTTTCGCCCTCAGCGGTAGACATCTTCTTTGATATTCTCACTGTCGTTTTCGTCTTCGGCTCGATAACAAGATGTGCGTTCGGTACGGCACTGAAGCTCCAAGCTCGGCGAGCGTCATGAGCGATGCAGAAACATCCAATGCGCAGCTTTGAATCCGGCATCCATGCTGGAAAAGGTATCCTCATAGCATGTTTCCTACTAGTCGCACTTCGTGATGGCATTGAGGCTAGTCAAAGACGGATGTCTTCATAAGCCGTCATCATTTTAGTGGCTGAAGATTGTTCCTTCTCAACAGCAGTGCACAGTCTTCCAGTTGACAACACCAAGAGTGTCTCAACTCCGATCTGGATATCTTCGAGAATAGTAAAATCTGCATGCGTTGCAACACCAGGCTGCAATTTGTGACATCCGGACGTTGCCGTACCCGCCTTTGCGCGTTCCAAGCAGAATGGGCAGACGTACACACTAGTCGTCTACGTTGGCTTCGATCAGTTGGGTTCAGTCAGTTCCCGGGAGCGCTGGCGCGGGCACACGCCATGTCTTTCTGGGCGACTTCCAGAAAGTGCGTATACGATCCTTGTGCACGAGCCCGAACTCAGAGCTGGGTTGAGGCTGTCAAACCGCCACGCTGGACATTGCTCACTCAACAGGGTGTCTAGACGTCCACACGCGGACTTGCGCGCACCCCTTGAGCCCGGCGGCACCATTCCTGCAGCTTATGGTAGCTTCAAGTCTACTCGACCCTGCCCGACGCAGATGCCGTTCGACTAGGAGTTGTTTCCGGAGGATAAGGGTCAAGACGCTTGCCAGAAACTCGTTACCATGCATAGCATCCGCCATGTTATGATCTGCGGCGCGAGGCGTCTGCAGCTAAGCATGGCGCTCAATAGTGTACCTGATTTGACTCAGGGGCTCGGTACTGGCTAGTGTGCGCCATCTTCGTCAGTCTGAACATCAGACGACGCTGCCGACGAAGCCGGATACCACCCTCCTTCTTGCAACCACATCAACCGACCATCCGTCTTCTTCGGTTATCGCTCAAGTCTTATCGCCGTACAGGATGCTCGCACTACCGGCCTTCGTGGCGGATGAAGCGGTGGTGTGCTCCATGATGACGCCGCAGACCGCTGCGCTGGTCGCAACCATCATCGAAAGAGCTAAGCCGATCAGCTCCGTGTCGTCGTACGAAATCGTCTCGTTGACAGCCACGGCTCGTCCGTCGTGTGGACCGTAATAGGTCTTCGAAGACCGAAATATTCGCTGTCGATGGTCACACCCAGCCGGCGGATGAGTCCTGTGTACGCGATTGCTTGCTGTGTCAGTATAGTCATCACAGCAAGAGAGAAAGTACTGCGCTTCTTCATGTTTCCATTTTCAGCGTGGCCTGCTCTGCTGCGCTGCCGTCGATGTCCATGGCGTCGCCGTTTGCCCCGTTGGCCTCGTCTGGGTTCTTTCCTGCTCCCCGCTTCGCCGCCCGCCGAGCTGATCCTCTATGCGAAATATGCTGCTGGTGGTACGCCAATCTGCTGGAACTTCTGTTGAAGTTCGCGGCGGTCTTCGGAGGAGTCGGTGGTGTTCCTGCGTAATCTGTTAGCCCGTTTTGCGCAGCAAACATACGACACCGCTCTCAACAATAGAGAAGCGCGAAAGTCTTCGTAGGATCACTGGCTGAAAATCAGCTAGCCACAGGATAGCTGTAGCCTCGTGGGGTGCTGTTGATGACGCTCTTCGAAGCCGGAACGTACCTTGTGCCCTTCCGAGCTGCCTCAACAGCTCTCAGGCGACTACACTTGATGGCGTCCTTGTCCTTCTTGGACCAGATGGCCCAGCGACCTCCCACGCGTGTGTAGGCGTCGCGGAACAGCCACTTCACGCCGCCGTCCTTGACCCAAGGTTTGTAGGCCTCGGTGATCTCGCAGCAGACCCGCTTCTTGCAGGGCGTCATCTTGTTGGCTTCTGGTGGCCGAGTGGTGTCTTGTAGAAGTGTTTGTGTGCTTGTGGTATCTGGCAACAAGTGGGATCGTGTGTGATGCTGTTGTCGCTGGTGAAGTCGTGGAAGCCAGCTGCTACACCATAACGGACTTCATGATACGCTGCTATGGCCCGTGCGCACCACTCCGAGATTCTGCGTCCTCGCAGTATCCGCCAACGAGAGAGATCAGCATGGTGCACGCAACAAAAATGGAATCCCCAGGAGCTATACAGTCACTCCTGAGGAGGTCAGTCCATTGCCCATAAATCGGGGCACAGCATACAACTGCCACGATTGGGAATGGAGAGGGAGGCTTGCAAAACATCAAGTTAGCTATAAGTTCAACAACGAGAACACACGATCTGCGATATCAGAGCCATTTAGACGCCGAAAGTCTCTTGGATGGTGATCTCTTAGACTTTGATAAGGGACGTAGCATCAAAGCTGAAGGTGTTCATTCTACATACACGGTGTTGCGTGCTCTAAGCCTGAAGCCCCTGAGATAGGCCTTCACAAGGGTCAGGAGGCCTGGCAGCTCCTTCCTCCACAACACGATGCAGTGTCACGAAATATGGGTCATCATGTCATAGAGGTGTAAAGAGTCAGCCTGCTTCAGAGCTCGCTTTTTACGCTTCATCTCTTCCCGTCTCACTTCAAATCGGCTTTTGAGTGACATTCTGCTCTGCCAAACCGATACAGCGGCATTTCGTCAGTTGAGAGTCCGCTGCAAGACGTCAGTGTAGCTCTCGGGCTATCCTTTGGGTTTGTTGGTGTTTCCCAGTAGCTGAGAAGGGAAGGAAGCGGTCGTTTACTGCACACCAAGCCTCAAGTCTTACTGCATCGCACCAACTTGCAGCCACTACAGTCAAAAGAAGTCTTGCTGAAGATTCGCACGGCTTCATAGGCATTTCTGCATGTCTTGCCATATTGTCGGTGCTAACCAGGGGTGTGTGGTATGTCAGTCAATCTCTTAGACAATATCTACGCCACCTACCCTGTTCACACGACCTTTCCACAACGTCGACAACGGAACCTACGAACTGTTGGGGCTAGAACCAGTAAGCAGAACACAGATACCGTAAGATTCAATATGGATATATCAACACGGTCATGTCATGGCGGAACCGACATTGATCATCTCCAGTTTCTGGTTCAGTCCCAGATGTCCTTTGCCGGTCAAGATTTCGTAAGGGCACTTGTTCTAGCACGCGAGTCTTTCACAACATCTCAAAATGTCTCATCATTCGGCCAGTTTCTTGGCCAGGGAGCTATCATCAAGAACAACAACCAAAAATGCAGGGTGTTTAAGGTGATAAGGACCGGTACTGGCAGCACAAAGCTGAACTTTCCCTTGCCAACTTCACCACTGTCCAGGGGAAGGGAACTGGCAGGGTCAGGAGTTCGAAGGCCAAATCACACTGTTGGTTTCGGAGCTCCTCAGTCGTGCAGGATACGCACTCTGCCGGCATGGACTTCGACTTTGACAAGTATATCAAGAAGATGGAGGCACATAACTACGAGGAGGATGTCAACGACCATGCTGAGTATGACTTCGTCAGTAACGACTCACATGAGGATTTTCTTGCTTTGTCCGAGGCTGATCAAGCTGCCACTGCTCAGCTTGCCCATCCGAATGCTCCGCCACGCCGGTGCGGCTTGGGATGACGCCTAAAATGCCGTCGATACGGCCTACGACGACGTACGCAGAGCCCATACACCCTCCTGGTTTGTCTGAGCACTCTTGGCTCAGCTTACGATTCCGTGTACGATATCATAACGCTCTCTCAAATACAAGAGACTGAGCGTATACCTTTATGTTGGTGTCATCCAACGACAAGATGCACCTCATATTCCGCATCGAGTTCGACTCGGTCGATGCTGCACATCGAGCAATGCAGTATCCGCGCAAAGATCAGCCTTCACGAACCTCGGAACCTACAGAACCTCTTTGTCGTGATACGTGAAGTCGACAATATGGGTGATGTTGGTTCTGAGGTTCGTCTGCATTTTAACAAGGAAATGATCCATTGGAATGCAGGGCGAAGAGGCACCGTCTGGTACAGCAAGCCTCCTGCTGTATCGGGAGCCATTCCCATGACCCATATCACTCAGTACTTCCACGAGCACTCCGGTCAACTCGGCAAGAACGCTTGCTTCTATGCTAAGCCTCGTCCGGTATTCACCCGTTGGATTCATCTTCCTTCTCGCAGCAAGGCCTCCAGGAAGCCCTTCCGCTACCAACTCATCTAGCCACCGGCCACTTCCATGACCTCTTCGCGTTTTGTCTCGTGGTCACCTGGGTTGTCCTGCCTATGACGTTGATCAGCTACTTGACTCCGTTCACCTCCATCTTTGTGGATAAAACGCTGAGTTGCGGAGACAGCTTCTATGGGCAGCCTCAGAATGCTACGGCGATGTTGGAATCGACATGCATGATTATGGTCTGGGCGGCCAGGGCGCAATAGACCCTACTACAGGGACTTGTTTTTACCTGCTGGGTGGTCAGAACGCAATACACGACGCATTGTCGAACCGACAATGGCAAAGACAAGTACGGCGACGATTGGGAAGAGTCATTCCGCAGCCGAATCGAGGAGGCTGACGACATCACTGCTACCGATATGATGCAGCATAAAGACGATGAGTTGGAAGGTTTTGTTAAGTATGACATTCTCGACATAGGCAAGGGACTGCTCAAGCATCCCAAGGAGAAGCCACTGCCGCGTTCAGGTCAGCTCCTGGTTCTACTACTCGGAAACATGGTCTCCGGTTTCCCCAACTTGATGACGCCTACTTCAGGTCAGCTCACGGGCACTATGGGATCAATGTACCTGACCACGCCGGCGTCAACTTATCCAAGGTCCCCAGTTACTCCGGGTCGCATCGGTCCCCCAAGCACCCAGAAGCAAGGCGTGATGTCCGCTACCGTGACGCCACCACCTCTCGCCTCTCTACACCGAGCACTCCAACCAAAGAGCGCTACTAGCCCTTTCAGACATTCCAACTTTTAAGCCCTGTTCCGTAGGATGAGGAGTCCTTCAGTAGCAAGCTGACTCCGACGGCAAGAAGAACGCGGTACCTTCCGTTATGACTACTCTCGAAGAAGATCGATGTAGGCTTCAGTAGCAGGCTGACTCCAAGCAAGAAGAGCAATACGGGCGAGAAGACTAGGGCTCGAAAGACCCTCAAGACCAAGATTCCCGACGGCAGGAAGAACGTGGTACCTTCCAGCATGCTCTAATGCTAATCCGCATTATTATAGGCGGTCAGAACGCAATACACACCATTGTACGCGGTCGGAACGTTATACGCACATCAAGGTGTCTTCTCAAAGTTCACACGCACAATTCCTACCTCGCCAGCTTTCCTTCTTTAGCTGGCGGTGACCTTTGGAGGAAGGAGTGCAGATGCGCAAAAGCCCAAGCACCAGCATCATCCCTTTTGTCAAGTCAACATTCAGCACCAACATGGCTATCAAAGCTGGAGATCTGGTAGCAACCGTACCTGGTAGCTCACCAACAACGATTGCAGACAGGAAGACGAGGACGATTGGCAATACCGACACTCAGTGGGGTAATGGAGTCGTCAGAAGGCATAGTAACTCACTGGCACCTTCCCTATGGCTGACGATATCCATTCCACTGGTGGCCAAGGGATCACCGTCGTTAGCGGTCTTCCGAACGTTCCCAGTAACTCCGGTTCCAAGTACCCCGATATTGTCAAGCAAACCGTTCCAACCCAGTACAAGCGCGGCGCTGGCATGGACTTCGACTTCGACCTCAAGCTAACAGCAACGACAACAAGAACAAGTCACGATGCAATAGAAGGAACAAGTATGGCGATCAATGATCATTGTATTTGAAGAAAAGCAAACATTAGGTACATTCAGTGTTCATCAGTGGCATCCATCATCCAGTCAGATCGTCTCAAACTGTCAACCATCCACATCTTGAACAAATCGCTTCGAAACCGACCCAGAAGACATACACTCGATAGTGTGTGTCAAAAGCCATACCGAGCAAGTCTGGCAACATCTGGGAACAAATTGAAGAAAGTGATGGAAATGGTGTAATCGTTGTGCAAGGTCTGGTCGGGACAGATGTTGCAACGATGCGCGACAGTGAGCGAACAAAGTTTACCAGGCGCGGCCAAAGTGGTGGCGAGGAACTTGCTGGCCCATCGTGGAGAAGTGCTGAAGAGCAACCGGGCGCCAAGGGCTCATGATGCGACTAAGATGAGAAGGAGCACCAGCGACCTTGCCGACAGCACCTGGATGGTCGTGAAAGTACTGAGTGATATGGGTCATCGGGATGAAGTCGAAGCCGATAGCACCACGCTGACCGCCGCCGAAGGTGCTCAGGTACCAGGCCTCAATGTCGTGCTTCTGATCCTCTGTCAAGCCAGCAAACTGGACAGGAGCAGCGTGCTGGTGCGCAAAATGCATAGCGGCCTGGATCATGTCGCGGGGGCTGCCGCGGTCGTAAGCGCTCGAGCGGTTGCGGTATTCGGTGCCGGAAGAGTAGCCACGAGGAGGGTAAAGACCAGTGGAACGCGCAGAGTCCATCGAGCGCTGCAACTTCGAGATGTTGTCAGGACGAGGAAAGGGCTCCTCAGTGCCAGTAAGGCGGATCTGATCCATCTGCTCTGCCGCGGCGTAGGTGATGATGAGACGAGGGCGGCAGAACGGGGTCTCCTGCATCACCGAGGAGTTCCGGAACTTCTGGATAAGAGCCTCGCGGCCTTGGATGGTCGCATACGAGATCTCAGCAGCCTTGTCAGACTTGAAACCCGGCCAGAATCGACGCTCAATGCGGTCGATGAGCATCAGCATGCCGTTCGCGTCGGTGAAGTTGATGAAGGCATAGCCTACGTTGCAGCCGGACTTGAAGTCGATCCGTAAATAGATGAAGTCGTACGTGCCGAAGCAGGCGATGTCGATGATGTTCTTGAGGGCCATCTGCGAGAGAGATTAGTCAAGCGTTCATGAAGATGATGGAAGAAGAAACATACCCAGTCGAGCGTGTTCGGAATGTTGCGAAGCATCACCGTAGTGCGGACGTCGCTGCCATCGAGAATGCGCTCACGGCGAACACGGTTGTGCTGATCATGCGGATGGTGGCTGGACCGGTGCGTCGCCTGGTTGTAGGGGTTGGACCAAGAGCGGCGGGTGGGTGAAGTATTAGTTCCTGGAAAGAACTGGCCCTGGTTGTCGATGCGTGGGAGGTATCGAGGAGGGCTCAGCAGACGCTCACCAAGCCAGCCGCCAACATCGTCAGTGGTCCAGTAGAAGGACTCCTGTGAGAAAGTTAGAATGGTTACATGCAAGAAAGAAGAGATGGAACACTTACATCAGCGTTCAGACCGTAGACCGGGTCTTTACGCAAAGACTGGATCGCTCGATGGGCAGCATCGACAGAGTCAAACTCGATCCGGAACACGAGATGCATCTTGTCATTGAGGGTGTCAACGTGGACGACATTGCGAACCGGACCGAAGACCTTGGCGATGGTCTCAATGTTCTTGGTAATGCTGTTGAGGTCCTCGGAGGTAAACTCCCAGATGGCATGATCGGGGTTTGGTTCAATCGACACTGACAAGGTGATCTGGCCTTCGCACTCCTTGACTTTGCCAGTGTCCTTGCCCTGGGCATTGGCGAAGTCGACAATCGAGACGTAGTTGACGAAGAGGCCGGCCTGGAGGAGAATATCTTTGCCTTCGGCAGCATCGGAGACCGTGTCGTAACGAACATACATTGTCGAAGAGTGCTCATGTTTGAAGGGGATAGCATGCAAGAAGCAAGCATACTAGAGATGGTCAGTATGTTACATGATGGATGGAGGCAGAGACAACTTACACGCCGCATCTGAGACTGAACTAGAAACTGGAGATGATCAATGTCGGCTCCGCCTTGGACGTGATGGTACCGAGAGACGTAGGCGGGATCACCCTGGAGGAACTCGTCGACGAAGGCACCCTCGATGTAGATCTGAGCTTGAGGAAGGAAGTTCTTGGGAACTTGTTGACCAGGAGCGATGGCGGTGAGCCGACGACGGTGATGCGGCTTGCGGTCAGCCTCTGGCGAATACACAGTAGGGTTGGTGCCGCCGAAGGGTGAAGAGGGGGGGCCATTGGCAGAGGATGATTGAGGGGAGTGATGAGACATGATGAGATGTTGTTGAAAGGTCTTGGTATGAGACAAGTGTGAAGATGTAAAGGGGATGTGCAAGAGTTGGAAGATTGGCAAAGCTCAAGCAAGGAGTCTGTCAAGGTGAGGGTGTTGGTGTGTGGATGGGGGAGAAAAGAGGTGGAAGGAGCGAGGGGTGGGCTCTTTATATGCTCCCATCGGCGCCGCAGCTCCAGAGGTCAGGTGATTGGCACTACTGCGGGCGACGGCAGTATTCCAGGACAAAGGACTCATCACTCACGATATGGAGATGCGTACCGAAAAGGAGGTTGCGATGGACGAGCTCGGAGCGAACGTTGATGGACGAACCAAGACGAGTGTATACGGGTATCCCACAAAACCCAGCGAACCACCACCCGCACAAGACCAAGCTGGGCACGACGAGATAGCGCTTGTCGAGCTCTACAACTTTAGTTAGCCAAGTATATGTGGCTTCAATGGAGTTGAGGATGCATCTCAGTTGCAAAACACCTCCCGGGTTTGAAGTTCCCATACTTCAACTATTTCTCACCTGTCGTGAGGCCCCACTCACCACTTTCTAGCGTCGTCCAAGACGCCTGACCGCCCTGCGGAGGGTGCCGGCATGGCAGGAGCGTCAGGCAGAAGTCTCCGCGGGTAGAAGCCGAAGGAAGGCGCAGCAGGAACGTGAGAGCGTGTGATGATGGCGCTGTAAGATGATCACAGCGAAATCGAGCTCGATAGGGGTGCTGTTAGCTGTTGTAAAATTCTTGTGGCTGTATCAGACCGCTATATGGACCTTTTGACGTCAAAAGATTCTCCAAGCTTCGTGGACTGGAGGGTGGAGAAGTCACTCAAACACGCGTTGGAAGCATGGTGATGGATCTTGCAATGACTGTGGAGAGCATATGGGTCTGGCACATGCACATCGTGAGCTGCAACCGCGTGAGATGACGTGAGGCGGTGCGAGAGCGCGATTCTTAATCGCGACCTTCAGCGTGTCATCACATCATTGAGGAAGTTGCTGCTGCTTGTGGGAGCGTCTAGGGAATCCAAGTCACTCTGGGAAGGCACGTTGAAGCGGTGCCGCAAGAGCAACCTCAAAGCTGGAAACTCAGTGTCAACCTGCTTGAAGACGATACAATCGCAGGAAAGCGACACAGAAGCTTGAGAAACCGAGCAAATATAGTCTCACCTCAGAAACTCCGCTGCCATGTGTGAAGTAAGAGACCGCGGCGGTGACGCTGAGCCCGCTCCGTAGGCAAGAAGGGCTTCTAGCACGCAAGGAAGCTTCACAAAATTATGGGCATAGTGCTTTGCAGAGCTGAAGTTGAAGGCTATTACAAAGATAATGAGAAACTTCATAGTCAGAGGCGGAGATCGTGGGAATGCCGATGAGCTTTCTGGGTAGACAATCACGACTTCCAGCGCGCAAGCAACTTCACGGGAGTACAGATACGGTTATTTGCATTTCTGGGGTGAAAAATGATCCCAAACACGAAGGGTGGCTCTCCAGCAGAAATCAGGTCTTCTATAATGACCGCTGCTGTTCGCGGCGCTCAGGAGTCGCCAAAGGAACCGAAGCTACAGATTCGTGGCTTGAGGCAATATTTGTGGACACCTGGAATGAAGGGGTTGTGATCACCTCCAGAGCCACGAGGAGTCCAGCGGCAGAGACGGCACCTCGTGGTGAGATCTGCCGCTGAGAGCGCATCGCAGCTGCCAAAAGGGCCAGGACCACGCGGTCGCGACTCGCGATAGCAGGTGCGAGAACTCTGGAAGACCCCGTCATCCAGGAACGTAGCTTGAACGGTAGTATGCATGGGACATTCACGGCAAGGCCACCTCTCAGACAGCGCACCAGTAAAGGTCGGCGCGAAAATAAGGCCTAAAGGCACTCGCGACTTCCTTCATGGCGATCTGAGTGATATAGAAGTGCACAAAGGCCTCTAGGCTGTACTTCGGCATCACGAGACGAACCAAGCAACTCACAGTCATTACATGAGCGACGCAGACAGTCCGTCTTGGGGCTGCCGAATGGCTCCTCCAGGGCCTCAACTCCAGGGTCCAGGGACTTGCGCGACGAGACCATCACAACCCTCAGCTTGAGACTGTGGAACTCCAGAAGTAGGCAGGTACACCGCACGACAAAGCAACATGACCCCGGAGATGAGACTGCGCAGTCCGAAAAGCCAGCAGCCCCTTTCACGCATTTTTCCTGCTGGGTGTTCGTCTACTTGTCTGTATCCTTCGTCCGCCTTCAGCGCCTTGAGTTTAACAGGCAGAGCGACTGAACCATGACGCGGTAGAAACATCACAATCAGCTTATCAGATCGTACGCCTCAAGGGGCTGACTGCTCTGCGAAATAAGAATTCGCCATTATACATATCTACTGCGCCTCCCCTTTCCAGGTCGTACCCTCCGCTCTGACATCCGTTGTCCTATCTCTCCCTTACTCTACCTAAGTATAAACCCAACTCTACGCAGCTTCTCTTCCGTCAGTCTCAAGGTTTCGGCGCTGCTGTTGAATCGGAGCAATACGATATGAATTGTCAACGCTAGCAGCGCCAAAATAGACGCCGCGTACACCGCTCAATTCGACTGCTACGCACCCACGACTTGAGGGCTGTTGGGCAGGCATAACAGCCTCTTCATCTTTCTTCAATACAGTCTCCTCCTACTTGTGTGCCTCCGTCTGCTGCTGTTGTACCTTTCTCAAGTCTAATTGGGTGCCGTCGTGTACGGTCGAGGGCGCTTGCGGAGCGGCTTGGGGCATATACGAGGAAGGAAATGGCAGGAAGAAGGCGAATCACTGGAGAGGTCTGGCGGATACCTTTTGTTGTATATGAGCTCGCCGAAAGGCGTCGCTGTCTTGAGGATATCCCTGGTGGTGTAGGAGCCTCGCCCTCGTGGATATATGTATCGCTCAGACACCCTACAACAAACATTAGGCGGAAGAACTTCCTGGTAGCAGGACGGGGTACTCACAAGAAACTTGTACAACGTAGTCACTGTCGATCCAATACGCTGGTTCATCAATAGCGAAGCCAGACCGTCGCCAAAGGTGGTCTTGGCACCACAACATAAACCGTCGAAATCAGCGCGCTCCTACCACCAAACCAGCACCAGCAAGACATTTCCATAATCACAACCTTCTCAAGCTGCTGCCACACTACTATACTACTACAATTCCTCTCCCAATACCACCACCACCACCAACAATAACAAGATGGAATTCACCATCAACATGAACGACCTCCGCGCCGACTCCCTCCGGGAGTTTGACGAGTACCCCCTCGCCTCCGACTCGCACGAGAGGCGAGTCCTCTACTTCTTCTTCCGCGGCCTCGAGGAAATGGCCATTGCGCAGTACGACCGCATGGCGGTGTACATGGCGTTTGGGGAGACAATCTTCCCGGAGGAGCAGGCGGAGCTCGACGTGCTGGCCGCAGAGCTGGACGTCTTGATGGCTGCGGTGCATTGGGCTGGGAGGGCGTATGGCGGAGATGCGTATAGGCCGGAGGACGAGGGGGATTGTAAGTTCATATATTGTTGGTTGTGGGTTTGAACGATTTGCTAATTCTTCTTCAGCGATGGACACCAGTGCTTGAGGCTCTGGCGGCGGTGAGGAGAGGGTGAACGGCGTTTATAGATGTGTTTTGATATGATACCCTGGGTCTGTTTTCTTTTCGGTGGGAGTTTGGGGTGGTGGTTGGATTGGGACTGAGGTTGGGGGTTCAGTAAGAGCGGCAGCTAAGATGAGCGTAAGCCCGCGAATAGATTTCTCATGATGGTCCCTGGAAGATGACAACCATTGTGTGTTGAGTGACTATGCATGATCCAAGTCCATGTGGCCATCAAGTGGAAGTGACATGTTAAGGTTTACCAAGTCAGAAACACATGTGTGGCTGCATGATCCCATATCGTATAGCGATATATCTCGCAGAGTACATCAAGTACCTACACAAGAAGGTACGTTGTTGGTACTACGTCGCCGGAACTCGATAGCTGGATGCTTGTTGCGATACCTCCTTAAGATAGACAATGTCTCCACGCCGAGCAATTGCGAGTTCGCACATTCATATGTTGATCAAGTACAAGTCGCCTATCCAGATGCGCCAGCGCATGGAATGAATATTGCCTAATACGGTACACTATAGTCCCGCGTTACGTCTCGAGATCCACATCGAATACCTGTATATGAAGGTGACTTTGGCATGTACGCAGACAGATTATATGCAGCTGAGGTACACCAATATATCACTTTTTAACCTTTATTCCGACAAAAAGTCTCACAACGACATGCACAGCCCACTATCATCACATCATTAGAGCTCATCCCAACCGTATTCACAAAGTCATGCCTCTATTCCCAGAAACGAACTATGTATACAGGGGTATCATACGATTAAATGCCTCATTCCATTACTCTCCTCCACGGCCAACAAGAGACGACAGGATCTACTTCCTGCCCTCCCCCTCCCCCTCAAACATCCACCTATCATCCTCCAAACTGCCAACCTTCTTCTTCAAGCTACTCTTCAGCGCAGCCCGAATCTCCTCTTCCACAGCCTCCATATCCCACTGCGCATTCGTCTTGCCGTAGAGATTGATAACTTGATTCTCCTGCTCTATCCGCATAGCACAAGTCAGCGTTTGTTTTTCGCCTCATGGCGTGTAGTACCACATGTGTCATGTTGTCATGATGCCCATGCCGACTCATCAGAAGAAGAGACAAAAGTACAAGATGCCAGTAAGTAAGACGGCGACAGGAACCGACATACCAGACTCGTCGTCCTCTTCGCTGCCGACGCCCATGTCGCGGTACACGGGCGTTGGCGCCTTGACTATGTATTCGCCTAGGGCGTCGCGCTCGACGAAATCTTCGTCGGCGGAGGAACTGAAGATGTCGGCTTCTATTTCGCGGCTGTCGGGGCGGACCGAGGGTGCGGCGCCGTTTTGGCGACGTGCGGGTGCGTGTTGTGGTTGTTGTCGCTGGTCTGGGTTTTGGGCGGTGTGCGAGGCGAAGATGTTGCGCCGGGTTGTTGGTGGGAGGCGTATTGCGCGGTTGTCCATTTTGTATTGAGTGGAGGGTGTTGTTGGGGGGTAGAGGGAGTATTATGTTTGGGGTGTTGGAGGACGGGATGTGGAGTGAGGTCGAGGTTGAGGTTGACTCGATGTTATGTTGGTAGTGTTTGTGAAATGATGGAACGGATGGCGCGCCGTAGCTAGTCAGGTACCGTTCGGTGGGGCGGCGACAGCTGGGGTTCTGGGATGGCGACACCCCCGCGGCGAAGCTTAGAGCGTCTTGTGCGACATTGCCAGCGCACAAACGCCTCGGCCGTATCAGAACCAGCCATGGCTTCACGAGACCCTCCTTCGCCCTCGCCAAGTCCCCCCAGAGATGTGGGAGGTAGATCGCCGCCTCGCAAACGACCCAGGACCCGCGCGCCTCCTCAAGCGGCAGCTCCAGCTTCAACCAGCGCGACGAATACAGCGACGATTACAGACATGCCGGCCCCCAAGATCGAGGCTCCGGCAGCTGACACTCCGATCCATCGCTTTTCCATACAGCCACTCAATCGCTTCCACGGCGCGTCGGCTAAGATAAAGCGTCCGCGCGAAGTCGCCCACTTCTCCTACGACGACAATCACGAATACCAGCCAGATGAGTCGGGCATCAACTACTACATACCGCCACCCATGGGTGCAGATCTGAAAGAGGGCTTCGATGCTTTCAAACACTATGAGGACAAGGAAGATCCTCATCTAGACAGTCTGCTTCGCGCGCTTATGGAAGACAAGACGGGCAAGGAAGAGGTGAAAGCCGACTTCATGACCTGGCGAGGCATGATGACAAAGGTATGTTGAAGCAGACTGGCCTACAACATGGCAAGGTAAGCGAATCTAGCTTTCTTACCTTGCTGCTGCTTGGACCTGGAAGAGTTACTAACAACATCCCAGATCATGACAGCACCCTTTGACAACTTTGCCGAATTCAGCATGTTCGCAACCCTTCACAACGGCACCATCTACATCGAAGAAGACTTCCCTTCGCGCGCCGCCGATCGGGCCGCAGAAAGTTCCCGTCCCCCGCCTCGCTACAACCAACACCCAGACCAGCAATCCCGCGAAATGATGACATACTGGGGCTACAAGTTTGAGAAACTCACCCTCATACCCACTCTACCCTCTTCTACGCCTCGCGAGGAAATCGCACGGCACCAAAAGGGCGTCGTATCAAACGCCGCCCAACACTGCTCTATAGTCCACACATCATTCGGGCCTCATAGTCTGATACTAGGCGGCGAAGTAGACGGCCTCCTCGCACCAAAACCATCCGACCCGGAGCAACCTATCCAATGGGTCGAACTGAAGACTAGTGAAGAACTTCCTCCACCTCGCCAGCAACAACACCGCGACATTCTCAAATTCGAACGCAAGTTACTCAAGTTCTGGGCTCAGTCTTTCTTACTCGGTGTACCCAAGATCACGGTGGGGTTCAGGAGTAAAGCTGGAATACTAAGGGGGCTGCAGACGTTCAATACGCATGAGATTCCTGGCATGGTGCGCAGGGGTACGAATTGCTGGGATGGGAATGTGTGTATTAATTTTGCGACGGAGTTTTTGGCGTGGTTGAAGGGGGTTGTGGTTGATGAGGGGGTTTATAGTGTTATGCTGAGGAAGAAGAGTGGGGTTGTCGAGGTGAGGAGGTTGAGGGATGGTACGGGGGATATTGTTAGTACTGCGTTCAAGGCATACAAGAGCAAGGGAGGTGGTGCTGGGCATGACGATGGGGAAGCAGGGGGCGATGTTACTGGCTAACGTCCGTACATCGAGGAAGTCACACGGTATGCTCAAGATACTCGCTTGGTTCTGCCTTCCTATAGGTCGGGAGAAACCACGGAGAATACCTCAGGGTACGTTTTGCCTCTGGGTTCAGTCGGATAGGAGGAATATCTGATTTCGCTTGATAGCATCGTGGTACAGATACAGTGCCCATGACCAAACTTACATTCTGAGTTCAGATTTTGCACAAAATGCTCATAGCCCACTCTTTCTTGAATATGCTATCAGGACCTGCCTACTACATATCGTTAGTACTTGCCTACAAGTCATCAACGCCTAATTACCAGAGTAAGAGCCATGTTATGTTGTTATTGGTACCTGCTAGACTTCTAGCGTACTGCCTATATAGTCAACGTCATCTGTAGAATCAACCCATCACTCTTATACTCCAACAACTACTACGAGTCATCGTCGAGACTGCTCTATACCATCACGCAGCGCTCAACCACTACGCTGTTCTCACCTTACTTGCCTCCTACAACGCATTCCATTGCCTGACCCTACGCTGCACAAGCCCGACGTATTCCACAAACCTCAGAAGCACTACAGCCATCAGGAGGTTCTACGCTCAAGGTCTCCAGCAGACCTCACACAAAGTACATCGTCTCACCACGTGTCAACTACAGACACAGAAGCCGGTAGCGACCCGGTAACCAATTAGGAGCACCATATAGATAGGAATACACACGATTCATACCCAAACCATCACACCACGGCGATATCGATACCTACGACCATCCTCACCTATCTCAAAAGCAGTCTTCAGCCTCCAGGTCTCCAACAATATATCTTGACCCTACTTTCGGGGCCTGGTGGCCAATTTCACCCGGGTCTATGTGGATCTATTCCGTCGGGACTACCAGTACACGACATTCCTACTGTACCTTCGCGACAACTTCGCCCCTGATTTACTACTAAGTTTAATGACCTGCGACAGTGTCGGAGATTGTCAGTTAACATTTCCGGGGTAGTCTCCTTATAATATTGCAGTGCTGCTGAGCCGGCTCAGTCGTGGTCAGATATTACAAAGCATGGCTTGAGACCGCAGCCCAGCTTTGCACGCTTCCTTGGTTTACCAAAGGAGATCCGCTTTCTCATCTGGACATCAATTCGCCCACGAGATGCCTCGCCCGTTGCGCCAGTGCATCCTCATTAGTGCCCTCAGCGGAACCACACCTGCCATTTTCACCTCATTCGCAAGCTGGTCAATTGCGAGAGCAGACGCGTCGAACATGCTTCGACAGAACCGACAGTTGGCCGACGACAGGACTTTGCTTTAAGAACAAGTTCGGCAGCAAATTGAGGTTAACCAAGACTTTGCTTTGCGACTCAAGGTTGTCGAGCAACACCCATGGTGGAGACGCTTCTGATTTGGTCATCTTTGTATACTGGCACTTGGTATCGCTTCGCTAGTCACGTCGCTAAGAACGGGATGCTGCCTGTCATATGCTCAAAGAGCATTCCAAGAGAGCAATACTTGCAATTCACAAACACAGCAAGATCTAGTAACCCATTCCTCTTGCACCAGACAACTCTGACCCCGTTTGGCACATGAATGCCAAGGATGGCGCATGCCGGGTATATGGGGTCCCATCCCATCTTAGTTAGCTCGGCAGACCTAATACACACGATTCCCCCCGAACCATCTGTGACACTATCGAACCCGGAAGGGTTCAGATGTTCTGGTCTCCAGCACTCTCGGGAATTTCGGCAATGAACGCGCCGACAAAAAGGCTGACATGGCCTCTAAGCAGGCGAAGGATTTGGCGAACTTCCCTTTCGCCCAACCTAGGTTGGCACTCACAAGATATTCGATACCATCTTGGGACTCGACTTCGGCTCTCAGTACACGCATCTGATGAGGAAGACGATAGTGATGGATCCGATGATGATGAAATTGCAGGGTGAATGGAATTGGCTGAGACGTCAGAAGGGTTGGAGGGGCTAGCAAGAAGAGGTATTATCGCATCTGACGAGGTACATGAGAGCGGGCACGAGATCTCTCGAGTAGTAGAGGATCGATACTCCCAATCAGATTGGGTCGTGCGTGAGCAATATATCATATTCAGAATGGAGCGAAAAGCAGATGAGAAACATAAAGATGTTCAAGATCACCAATATGCTTGGAGATCCGCCTTTGGGAAACTTCATACCCCTATTACTCATTCCTCTTGCTTTCCTATATATTGTACATCCGCCTTCAATTCTCCCTCCACCCACCACGCAGCTACCCGTCCCGTCGATTCGCCTACTTCCCTCGTAGCGCTGGCAGGCTTAATATTCATACCGTGATCTGCATCTCTAACAACGACGACCTGCGATTTTGCTACCATCTTGCTTCTAGTCTCGTTCAAGAGATCGAGCGGACACATGGCGTCTTTGTCGCCGATGATGAACAGTACGCTGATACCCTCTGATAAGTCGAGCAAGATCTGATCCCGCAAATCATCTTTAGGACCTTGAAGTGGGTACGATACGAGGATGAGCTGTATACTCGTCTCCTCTTGTCCGTGGTCTTTCTCGGCTATGTGTTCGCTGGCTGAGATGACGGCGGCTCGGGCGCCCATGCTTCTTCCACCTAACAACATCCTCTTTTTCCTATTCTGCTCTTTTGGCTTCCTCTTTTGCGCGGTTTCTTGGCGAGAGTGAAATTCCTCGATGCACGCGTGAAAGCTTTTAGTTCGCGCCTTCAGATTCATGGAGCCTTGGAATGCGAGGACGGGAAAATACTTGGAGAAGCCGGTACAGAAGTTCACTACCGCATCGGCGGAGAGCGTGCCGCCTGCGCCATGGGTGAAGATCAGGGTTGGTGAGATACTTGAGGAAGATGGCGTGTATTGATGGCATTGGATTGGTTTCTTGACCAGGTCGTGTGTGATGGTTCGGATTGTGATTATTTGAGGTGCTGGGCTCCCATCTTCAGCCGGTGCCTCATCTACTTTAGCTATCGCATTTGTTGGAAAAGACTCTTTGCGCTCTGGTGCGGAAGACTTCTTTGGAGTCTTTGTTCCCGCTTTCGGTGAGTCGTCCGGTAAGTCGTGTGCAGGTGCCGTGCTTGTTTTCGCAGATGAACGCGTGACGCGTCTCTTGAGCTCATCTCTAGGGACTGGTCCTGAGATTTTACGTTTTGCTGGCATATCGAAGATGAACTGGAATCCGGCGCTCGTGTCAAAATTAGTCTAAGTTGATGTGTGTGTGACATGGTACTTGTGTAGATGCTTTCGCGCTCAGGTGTACTGGAGGCAGCTGTGACGTAAGCGCCATCCAACTTCCCAGCCACTGCCTAGCTCCTTCAACCCATCACTGTACCACCACCTTTGCCTAGAAAATCGAACGCGGCATGTGAGTTTGGTTGAAACTGAAGCATTGTGTATGAAATGCATATCATGAGATGATGTCGCGCTTGTTCGATGCTGTACACATTCATTCCCCCGGTTCCGGCATACTGACGGACGCGGGGGCCTCCTCTGTCATACCTTCACGATGTAGGTCTTTGTACCAGTGCTTCTTGACACTCTTTTCAGGCCTATCCGAGAATGTTTCCATGATTCTATTCCACGACGCCCCTTCACTTCTCATTCGCTTCAGACACAAATCTTCTTTGGATGTCCAAGGAGCTTCCGTCCGGCTCTTTTTCGCCTTCGGAGCTCCGTGAGAGTTGCTCGATAGATCGTCATCGCAATCGTCCTCTACATAGACCGACCGGAACCTGGGATGTAGTAATGCGGAGAAGTTTCTGGTTGGAGAAACTATCATATCACTGATTTTCTCCCGTCTCGAATTGCCATTTGTCGTTGGATCACGCACGTCCTCGTCATCAATCTCAGCATAGTCCGTCTGGGTCTCGGCATGTTCGATTTCAGCAGAGAGTGGATCCTGGTGCCGCGCCTCATGACGTTCGAGGAGGTCTCTTCGATAGAAACTTTTCGTACACTGAGAGCATCTAAAAGGGACCCCTTGTGCGTGATTTTGTTCATGTCGTTTTAGATGTTCTTTACGCGTATATGACCGCCCGCATGTCCCGCAGATATGACATTTGGGCTTGCGGACAGAAATTGAACGCTTAGGCTTACCGGAAAGCAGCTGAGTTGGAGACTCGAGTACGACAGAGTGGTCAAGCATGATACCTGGGTAAGCGTCGTGGTTGATTCGTTCCGCAGTGGCATCAGTAGTAAGACTATGCGGAGCTTTGCTACTCTTCCCATGATCCAGAATCGTATGTTCTCGGTGCAGTTGGTCCACAAGTATCTGCCGAAGCTCCTTTATGGACGCTGGCAGCCTGATAACTGCAGCGTCCATCAATGTCTTAACGTCATCCATGATACAGCGCAGCGGAATCATGTAAACGTCCCCAAAGACGTCATCAGCCACTACCTGACCATAGACTGATATGGGGTTCGCATTCCGATTCAGAACTTGAGCAGGCTGAGAAGTGACCCACGTGCCGGAAGCACCGTCTTGTAAACGTCGAGAGGCATCTATGTGAATCGACGTATTAGCGCACTTAGCGACAGCGATGAGGGGGAGTTGTTACCCGGGGTGAGTATGTGTGCCTGCACAAAATTGTGCCCTGAGGGTGTGAGAATCATGGAAGGAGTGGGGGAAAGTACGCATTTTAGCGCGACCTCTGCATCGAAGCCTATCTGGAGCAACTGCTGTTCTCCGATGGCACCGAGTGCAATTGTCGCATTGGTAGCTCCGATGTCTAACGAATCAATCTGGTGTGTTTGAAGGCCTTCGACCAATGCCCAGTCCTTGTCCCGAGCCTCGCGAGAGAAGGACACATCCGCTAACTTCACATCAGTCCAATATGGCTCATTTTTAGTTATTGTGAAGCTCTCGTGCGCGCCCCGGCTGCTGTTTTGATTGGCATTCTCTAGGGTAATATCGTCATCGTCATCCGAATCGCTTGAAGCTGGGGATGGCATGGTCCCATCCGATGGTTGATCCGAGGATGAAGTATTGTATCTTGTCTGAGGAAAGATATGGCCCGCCGTCAAGCCGTAGATAGTCTCTATACCATCATGGCAGCTAGCTACGATGTAGCCTCCTATCGTAGCCAACCTCGAAACTCCATCATGTTCCGCTTTGACCCGCAGCGACCCCGATGTATTGCCGGGGTAAGCTAAGTTTGCTGTGTATGCTGGAGCCACTTTTACAAGACTTGTGGATTCGTCAGCTCTAGGCTGAGGTGCTTGACCGACCACAGCCACCTGAAAAGTTTCTCGTCCTGGTTCATCGGACTGGTATATACCTCGAATCATGTCTTTCTTGAAGAACTTCTCCGCTCTTTTTCTAACCAGTTCTGGGCAAAACACTACGATGTATGGTCGGATCGAGGTTTCATCTTCCCCTAAGAGCATCAACCGAATGGCCATAGGCCGATATTCGTGTCGACTTTTGCGCAAGTCAGAAGCCAAGAGCCCAGCAAGCCGGCGTACAGTGCCCTGAGAATGTCGGAGCATCTCTTCGCTTAGTTCTCGTTCGAACTTTCGCATACCTTGAAGTATGTCAGGGCACAGAGAGACTAGTCTTGCTGGATCCGGTGGCTGCCCAGAAGACATCGCCAAAGCGGAGCTATGTCGTATGAGTGCAGCCAACGAGGCTGAGCGGCGTTTGGGACTCCCTGGAGGGCTGCCATGGCCGAGTTGCAGTCCGAAATCGTCCTGCTGAAGCTGTGTGTGCGGTGGTGTAGGCCTTGGGGTCTGCATATTGCTGATGCGAGCACTCTGGAAACAAGGCTTCAATTGAGTTCAAGAGATAACGTGAAAGTGTGGTCTCATAAGGTTGTAGCGGGGAGCTGATTGCCTCTCGGTTCTGCCCCGCAACCGGTGAGTCTTGAGGGATTTGAACGTGGGCTTGGTGCATGCTTATCAGCTCGTTAAAGGAGGGCCTCACCAACCCATGATTGGGTGTGCTTGAGGTAGGCATGCACGCTGCGAACCCGACGCCTAATAAAGCCGCGACCAACTTCGTCATGCAGTGTGTTGTTGCCACATACTCAGAATTGATATAATTGCTCACCACAGCCTTTGATAGGCGCTGAGTTATTGAAGCAGGACCAGCTCCAGTACATCATTGTATCCAAAGCATTGAAAAGCGAAGGCAATGAGTTTCTTTGTTCTACAAACCACTACCACCAACGATCTACAAGAGCTCGGTCAACGTTTGTGGCGATGGCAGTTATGCGGTGGTTGCACTGGGAAAACAACATGCTTCGATGCGCGATGTCCCTGGAGCCGAGCGAACCAACAGAATGCTTTTTGGGACCGATACAAAGCTCTAACGGCAGCGTATATGCCTGAGCTGACCACATCGTGCCCAGCTCTGAGGTCGCATGCCGATCTTCTGGAGCTGATTCAGCTTATTCAAAACCGACCTCGTGCAACAAGAGAACAGATAGCCGAATGTCACTTTGGGGCGCAGCGCGATGATGAGGTGCAACTCACCGCCACACTTGATCAGCAACGAGCCATGAATCTTGCAGCCAGCATAATGTTCTCTCTGGATTGCGGGAGCACATACGAGTCGGCAGGTCTTGTAGAGGAGGGTAGCTCATCGCTGCTGTGGCGAGATACGGTGTCTGCAGACAATTTCCTTCTGGAAGCATTCCCAGAAAGACCTCATCCAACCATCGCATCCCGGAAAGAACCATTAGAGTGGCCAGTCATAACAGCTGCTGTCAGCGGGAAAGAGGTGCAGAGGGTCCTTGGATTCGATATGGAAGCAACGACTGATCTGCGGAGCCATCTAATGCTGGACCATAGGAGACGTGTTCTCAAAATCTTCCACTGCACGGCGATGCTGCGAGAAACTCTTTTAGTGTGTGAAAGCCAACCGACAACTTGTGTACTACCACGACGACTCATTCTCGAGGTATTCGACACCATACATAGGGTTCTCTTTCCCTCGGATCACGAGTCGCAGGCCCTTCTCTCGTCGCTCGTGACAAAACATGGATTTGATAGAGATCTCCTAAGGTTTGAATCGTGGGATCATTACAAACACAATGAACCTGAGCTCTCTTACTCCTACTTCGGTACTCGATTGGTAGAGCTCTACGAGGAGCTGCAAAACCCCAAACCTCACTCTCGGTTGGAGAGCTGGTTCGAGCGAAAGAGCGGCACGAGATACATGTTGATGGCAACAATGGTCGGTGTCTTCATCGCAGTAATCATCGGGATCCTAGGCCTCGGAATTTCCGGCTTCCAAGCTTATGTCTCGTACCAGCAGTGGAAGCACCCTGTGAAGGATACGTAGAATGAGTCCATATTCATTAAACAGGCGGCGCACAGTTGCGGGAGTTTGAACGGTTTCTTCGATGGAATCTGATGATGGAAAGATGGGGAGAAATGGGATGGTAGGACGAAAGAGGGCGGCTGGAGGAAGAAGCGAGATCGCGCTCGCGCACGCGACGCGGCTGCCCCAGACGGGCACGTTCTCCGTACTACTCATGACAATCACACAGTGACGGTCTATACACAACCGACATGAAACTGCGACTCAGAGACGGAGTACACCCTGCGAACCTCGATCCACCATGCACTGTGATACGAAAGTTGCGCTGTTGATGATCGCGCACTGTGATCATGGTGTCGTCACATGTTCAGACGCTTCAGTAGAACGATCAAGGGCCATTACAGCCATTACGCTCCAGGATTACGTATCCGATATTGTAGACAAGGGTATCTGCAGTAAGCTAAGTCATGCCCGCAAGCTCTTCTCCGTCCGTCAATGGAAAGGCACTGGCAAGACGTAGATATCACATACCAACCCTTGGTTATCATATTTCGGATGATACGAAGCCTGTTCACCGTAGAACTGCTTGACATGGCGCTCTTCACATGCATGTCCCCCCCGAGGCTGTCCATGCAACGTGTTCCACAAAGTACTAGATGGAAGGAATTACAGCCACGAAGGGGCGTGACCATGAATCGCAACACCGCATAACTCACACCGAGCCGCGATCGAATGTCATGCAGGACATACTCACAGCCCTATGGGTGGAACAAAAACCCATCCTATGGGATGTATGCCTTCGACATGACATGCAGCGATGCGCCGACGCTAACAACACATCTCCAACGTCCTTGCTAAGCGCTCGCACAAATCCGTCCGACTCCTCGTCCTACGAATAACACGCGTCATCTTGTCCATCGATCCTTCACATCTCTCCCAAGCTCTCCGTCCTTACCCGCTAGGATCTCTAACAGATCTCACATCTAAGACACGCCTTCCTGCACACCACTATCGCGTCAACTACTCAGCGTAGCAATCCCTTTCCCAACTCCAGAAGCCCTTGCTCTTCACCCTGCTTTATCAATTGGCCCGGCTACCGTATCTCGCGAATCGGAATCCTGTCATCGATGTGCAATGCCCAATAACGATAGCTCGGCGATACGGCGCGGGTCAGTCGATATGTGATGTGAATGATGTGATATTTGTTCCTGTGGAACGGGGATTCCATCTAGCCAGTAGGATAGGGCTGGATTGAGTTGCGGCATGGTAGCTGTTCCGTAGATTTAGCGCGGGAGTGCGGCGTGGAAAAATCTCGTGTTCTTTTTTCCGCTTTGGGTGATATACAAGGTCGACGTCTAGGATGGGTCTTGTTGTCGTGTTTCGCAGTCCGCTTCGTAGGAATAATCGTACGACAAAGCCGGTTGGCGGCAGCTGGCAGATAGAGATAGAGCAACTGATGACTGAAAAGGTGGACACGTTTCATTTACGAATAAAAGAAGGTGGAGCAGAATATTTTCACTTATTGATTGATTTGTTTCGTCGCGCGTATCCGCGATGTTTAGTGGTAAAGGCTGCTACTATAGAGCACTAGCTACATGCGTCGGATTATATTTGTACAAGGGTATGGCGGTAATGGGCAGCAAGTATGGTAACGAGAACGAGAGAAAACACATGCAATGCAATGCGACAAGGTATCGTAAGCGACCATGCGAAGTAGAACATGAGATGCTTTTAGTAAAGACCACCATGATGACAGACTGATTGAAACACGTGTCCAGAAGGACAAACATAAGCAAAGAGAACCAAAGGACCAACAACTCCGACCGTATCTGTAGGAAAGAGGGTAACTGGGTTACCATGAGCCAAAATGCTGGTATTGGGAAAGTACCACCTTCGCCAAAGGAAATGTCGCTAAGGGGGTATCGCAACCAAATCATCCTCCATGAATGTCTCGTGTATGCTCTGTAGATCGTATATCTCGAAAATGTGTGAAATGATGCAAGGCGACAGCACCCTAATATCCGTGGTGCGCATTAGATGAGTACTTCTGCTCTGGAACGTACTTCTGATCCGTTACATAGTATGAGTGAGGGTGGGGAGCCGCGGGAAATTGCGGTGTGCTGAACGGCTGCTGCAGAGCCACTGGTGCCGAAGCCCTCCTCTGTTGGTCGTGTTGTGGTCCTGGGACTTGGGTCTGCTGGGGGCCGACAGGTGAGCTTTGCTGGGGCAGAGCCTGGGCCTCGAAGCCAGCGGATTGAGGTAGAGTGTATGCAGCAGGCTGTGGCGCCTGGTATTGTGGGGCAGGTACGTGCTGAGAGTATGAGGAGGCTGATGTAGTAGAGGGGGGGTCGAAAGAGTAGGGACGCGCCGATTGTGGCTGTGGCGTGTAGTGTGAAGACGTAGGAGCTTGTGTGGAGTATTGAGAAGTTGCTGAATGTGGCGAAGAGTATGGTTGAGGAGATGGCGGATGTGCGTAATGCTGCGACGATGGCTGCGGAACGGAGTATTGGTGTGCTGGCTGGTGCGCCGAGAACTGAGGTGCCACAGGCTGAGGTGCTGCATAGTGTTGAGGGCTATGGTGGCTCGACGAGTACTGCGAAACCTGGGGACCATGCCAGTAGTCGGGAACTGTTAGATGAAGGGGGGCATGAGTCTGGAGCTGGCCCTGAGCACCGATCGATTGAGTTACAGCTCCGATAACATGATGCTGCACATGACTTGGCTGGATGTGGTGTGGGTATCCTGCTACAAGGGGCATATCCTTGCTCTCCTCATCTTCAAGGCTAACCTTCCAACCATTCAGAAGCTCGGGTCTTGGCTGGATGTCGGCGAGCTTTGGATCTTGGAATGGTCGCTTGAGCTTTCCGCTCACGACGTCCTCCAGACTGTAATAAGAAATGACATGGTGATGAGTGCCCTGGTACTTGACTGAGATGGTCTTCTTCATCAAACCACCCTCTTTGAACTCGTAGCTATCGATGAGAGAGCCGCAGAAACGTCGCTGTTGATCGGGGGTCAAGCTCTGGGCGAAGTTGGCGTACACCTTGTTCATGGAGTCGACATCGCCGGATAGCGAGGGATCGAACGAGGGATTCTCATATTCGTCTTCGGAGTTTTCTAGCACTTCGCCAGTTTTGGACCTAACGGGCCCATTGTTTTCCTTCCGCTTCCTCTTGGTTCCGCACGATGGGTTCAGGGCCGACTTCTTCTCCTCTGGCTTCAACGCGCGCACGAGCTGGCGGTAGATGAGGCAGTTGTTCATAACCCGACTTGGGGACCAGTGGACAGCATCGGTCCATCGCTTGATACCAGAGGCGTTCTCCTCGTACACCAATACGGTTCCAGAAGTGAGCATCTCTGCGCGCTCTTTGTCATGCGGTCTGCGACTAATATGGCTGAGGCGGCCTTGAAGTGCTGCTTCTACTACGGTCATGGCATCTTTGGTTGTGTCCAGGAATCCCTGCCACGTGGGCTTGAAAGCCGGCTGCGCTTTGACCATGTTTCCTGTGACCTGGGGCCTGGGGGGTGGTGGTGTGCTAGTCGCAGTTGAAACGACGCGAGAAGTGGCGATTGAGTGATGGCGGGGCGGTTGGCGAACTTGCTGTTGCATGGGAGGGGTGAAGCTGGCGTACATGGAAGGATCAAACATGTTCGAGTATGAAGCTTGGTGGGAGGTCGGTTGCTGGGGCCAGTTCCATGAATCTGTATCGCTGTATCCCTCCACCTTTTGCGCGCCACCAATGGACATGTCATGTCCGAAGGAAGGCATCGTCAGAGTCGATGCCCTGATACCTTGCAACATGGGGAAGAGTGGTAGTTGATGGTTTCGATTCCGTTTTCAGACGAACGTTTCGAACGTGATCCGGAAAGGAAATGAGGTCAATCCTTTTGATCAGCAGAGTAGCATGAGAAACGATCTTCGATCGCACAGCAGTCGAGATTCGTTATATGGATGGTAGTGAAGATGCGCGGATGTAACACGGGACCAAGAACTCGGAATACCAGTGTTGGGACAAGAGGCTGTAACCAATGAGCGCATGCGACAACGCCGGGTGCTAGAATATGAACTCACCAGTATCAATGTTGCAATGAATGAGTGTTGAAGAGAGCGAAATGTGGCGAAGCGAACGGCGTCGTTCCAGATGTTGAGGTTGGAAATGGGCGGGACGAAAGGCGGGGCAGGTGCGTTGACGATGCAGATAGTTCTATCCCGACTCCAGTCTTGATCTCGCTTACAGGACGAGAATTATGCGTGGGCCGTCGTGATGGGTTGCAGCAGCAGTGGGTGAACTGTATAAAGGGTCAGAAATTGTTTGGATGGTCGTCAAGCCACAAGGTGGTAGAGGGGCAGGACTGTGCACGTACTGGCGCTGCAGATGCAAACAACAATATGGAGAATGTAGGTCGCCGACAGGAGGTACCAGAGAGTGGTCCAGGGAACGGGTACAAGTATGTATAATTGGGGGTTAATATCGATGCGTCGGCGAATTGCGAAGCAACAAGGATGTCAGGGTAGGTAGGCCCTGGGACGATAATAGGGAGTGGAGGTAATAGTAGCAACGGCGGCATCAGCCAGCGGACATGGACATGGCTCCTTGGAATTGCACGCTATCCAACCTATGACAGCTAGGATGGGCTGTCGGAGATAATTGGCGACTCCTGGCAATGACTCTGATGGATGGGGCAGGTCAAGCGTGAGGGAATATGCACGACTTGCGACAGAGCACGAAGGCAATACGTCGTGGTGAAGTGCCTGGGAGGGAAACGCTTGTCTCCGGCGGCCATGACACACTACGAGACTGGCCGCTAGGAAGACCTTACCTGGTTCGGATGGCAGACAGTTGATGGCTACAGTAGCGCAGCGATCGCCCCCTGCTGAGCGCACTGCTAGGCCCTGGACGGAGACACTGGACATGTGAGGCAGTCCTACTGGGGATGTTCACCTCCAGCCATCCGCCAGTTCGTGGGTCTGGCCCATGAGACGATCAACGCACACAAGCAGCATTCCCTGTGCGTACTCCACCGCCGCCCACCGCACCATTGCCAGCTAAACTAGTGCGCCATGACTCCCCAGCTGCCAGGGCCTGACGTTAGGACAGCGTAAGCTTCATGTTCCTGGACGGCGGCCGCTGGTGAGGCAGCACGCGAAACTCTTTTCATCCCGCAACGTCCTGGACCCAGAAACGGTCGTCGGACTGCATTGAAGACGAGTATCGAGTCAGCTTGAGTAATGCGGCCCTTCCGGGTGGCTTCAGCAGGCCCGAAGTCGGTCGGATGCTGAGGGAGCGGTGCGGAGATGGCCAAGAGAGCAGGATGCAGCCGGAACAAGGCACAGCGCAGATGTCCAGCATGGCGACTGGGATGGGGGTATGCGAGTCCGAATGAGACCAAGCGTCATGAGGAAGAGTGGCCAAGGACCACGCAGACTGGTCTAATCATCGCGGATCCGGGACGGTGCGCTATGTTTCACACGGCCGCGTCTGCTTCCTGGCTCTCAGCCCAGCTGTTGTCGACCAACCCCTACCTCTAATGTTCACTGCAACCATGCAAACGCCGCACCACCGTCGGCTGGGAAGATCCAGGGCGACGAAATATCCTCCGAGAATTGCGCATCTCCGCGTGGGTTGTGTTTGGCTCAGCAGTCGCCGCGCATCCATAAAAGTCAAGTGACGACCAAACACAGCCTAGCGTGCACGTACCATGATAAAGTCCCTCCCCCTCATCCTGGAGAGAATCATGCACGCCCATCACACTCCATCTGAAAAATTGCACCGCTCAGCACGCCGTGACCTGCGAACTTCTCCAATAGTCCGTGTAAGATGCATCGATGTATGCCTGAGATTTGCAGCTACGTTTGATGCCACGCAGCTGTGGGGTCGCGGCCACGACTGCCACCCATCCACGCACTTCTCAATGTTATCAGTCCTGTCGCCATGCGACCCAATGACCCAACCTCCAAAGGCCTTCAGGCAATGGACGCGAGACTGGCAATGACGACGATGCAGCTGATGCGTGACGACCAAGCGGGTCCTGGTGCATTTGCAGCAACAGAACTGCATGGTCTACTGCAAAGGCAACTTGGTGACTGACGCGACATCCTTGCCGTTGAGGGCCAGGGATAGAGCCGCGTCGCTCTCTCCCCAGACGTGCGCTTCAGCCTTGATCGTCCCTTGCAAGCTCACTCGATGAATTATCATCTAGTCAGGAACGTCATCTATAGCCGATGATGTACTTTATGCCGACTAGCCAGACAGTGGACGGCGCTATCAAGTCCGGTCCGCAGCCAGACTTGTGAGGTTCGAGTCAGTGCTGTCCTGCAAGTCACGCACTTCGCCCTTTTCGGCCGGGCGGCATTGCAGATATCATCCTCCTCTGGTTAGGGCGGGCATCACTCGTCTCGCATCCGTGCGTTAGCATCATTATTGAGGCTTGCTGACACCGCGCCTGACAGCAACCAGGTTTCAACGGCTATCGCTAGATACTTGGAGGTCTCAGTAAGAAGACGATCGCCCGTCCAGCCCCATCCACGAGAAACAACTCAACATTGCCTAGCCCTCCACTGGTATGAAGTACGTGTAACCAGGTTACGCATGTTCACGCGCGCGCCACAAGACGTGGCTTCGACTGGGAACATCGTTGCTTCGCAAGCTCTTAAACAAAGCAAATATAGGTCCCGGACATATATACAACCAGCATCGACTCAGGCCGCACGTTCACAATACGTTGATCAGTGAGTCCACTCTCAACCTGGTGAACAGGTCATGGCAGAGCGTACTAACCCAATATTCCTCGCACTGTTCGCGTGTCGATTGCAATAGCGCTGACGCGAACTAGTTTCTTTAACTCGTTGATACACGTGCTCGACCGCCGTGTCTTCGTGGTCTGATTTCTGGAGTACCAGGCCTGTCGCATCACTATTAATCGCGCTATTCGTACTGCTATGACCAGAAGTTCAGCTGAGCCCACGAATCATCAAATCAAGAATTCTACCTTGTCGGTTTTGGAACAGTCCACTGTGAATAGCTCATTCGGTCTGCGCCAGTGTCTCGCCTGCCCCGGATTGCTTCCGGAAAGCAGGTGGCAGCAAGTGTGACTTGAGGTGCGCGGGTAGGCGAAAATCGGCTGAGATCAGCACAAATTCGATGATGTGATGCCTTTGCACATCGACGACGACACGCTAATAACACATCAGGGTCTTGTTACGTACAGTATGATCATGGCTCAGTCACAGACACCGCATCGATTCTTGTTCTGGAGTACGCGCGATTACTGCAATCTTGCCATGTGACATGTTGCGGCATCCGGTCGGCAACAATCACACACCAACGCGCAGATTCACAGCGGTGTCACGATGGGTCGCATGTAGCAGCTATCACTGGTCCGTACTCGCGTCGGTTCTCACTATTTTGCTCCGCTTCGGATGGATTCGTTTGGGGAAGGAAGAAGCGATTTTACATCTGTTTGTCGCAAAAGCCAACTTGAGTCATCTTCCTCGCTGTTTCTGGGCACTGTCTTGTCACACGTTGAGGAAGCCGGCCTGCCGTCTTGTCGTTGTAGTAGAGATATCATGACGATCAAGCCTTCCCGGCGTTCCATGGACCTAGGATTACCCCCGGCGATTTCTATTGATTGATAGTGCACCTTGGCATCGTCCACGGCGTGATCCGCCCTGAGCATCCATCTACCTTGAGATAACCAACCTCACATTTCGGCAAGCTCCACTAGACCAGCTACTACAGGTGCGCAGAGGTGTGCACATGACGGGGATGATCTACATTGGAGTATGAGGTCCCTGGACGATCCTGGAGATCCGGATCGTACGGATAATTCCTGCTAGCAATGCGCTAAGCGGCTATCATCCGGCGGAGCGCAATGAATGCGAACACCGTGTGCGGCGAACTCCTCCTCAGGGACCAAAAGCAAAGCTTGTTTCGGGGCTACCTCGGCCAATGTCGAGCGCTCATTTGTCGAAAGCTGTAGAGGGGTCCGGCCCGCGCAGCTGTAGCTGAAAGTGTAAGTGCGGGTGCCACGTGAACTTGATTACGAGCAACCTGCAGTTTTATTCTCCTGAAATTAACTCCAGTGTAGGACATTATTCGCCCTGTTGCAGTAGCATGCGGAATATTATTCGACGTTACAGCCAAGACCCTTTTAGAATCAAGAGCAGTTTTGCAAGCAACGGCACCCGTAGGTGCTCTCAACTCGCTGCAACCGTTGCTAAGTTTGTCTTATACTGTGCGGTTTCATGGCACTTGACATTCCCGTAACCTCCCGCTGTTGGCTTCATACGACGTTATCTGTCTTGGTTGCCTGAACCTCGGCACGACCTCGAGAAACACCACTACTGCTATCGTGCGTCAGGAGTGGTGGCGCTGGTCTCTTCTCTTGTGGCTTCGAGCCCGCCGCCGGACCCTCTAAACACCATGGTCTGCGTCCGCCATAGCGTGTGACGATGGGTGAGCTAGCGACTAGCATATCAATAGATCGTCTAACATTGCCGTGGATCCTCCGCCACCACGCACAGTCAGTTTTGAAATGTCCTGTCTACTCGGGCAAGATGCGGACCTTTTCGAGCTGGCCGCGGAGTCACAATGCAACGTCGACGAGAAAGGCATTTTCGCGGTCAATGACTCAATCGTCGCTCCGGGTTGGACCCTTGCGTGACGGCGACTGCAAAGTTACTAACCTTTCCATCTAACTATCTGACATCTGCTGGAGTGACTGGCCGCGACTAGCTTGCTGTTACCTTCTTGCGTTCAACAGTTTCACTAACTAGCTATATCCCTATATTTGTCGCCCTGGTGGTTGGCCTCGTGGGTTCCAACGAATGGGATGGATCGGTAAAGAATCCGGAAAATTCAATTGATCCTATTCGCACAAAGGGTTACCATTATTGAATGAAATGGTCTGCATTCTGGTACGACATCGCACCAGCAGTGTTTCAGGCCATTGGCATTCGGATACTGCATTGAAGTGGGTGCTCCACTACCTCGAGCTGTCGGAGCCAGACCTGTGTCCTGTACATGCTGTACACTGCAGAATGACGTGCGTTAGAAACCTTCCTGGTGCAAACCTTCGTATCATAGCAGGATTGGCGAACCCACTGGACACCATCGGAGGCTCCTGCTAGACTGGATGATATCTCAAGACAGATATTGTGTCCAAATCCGTACGTACAAGCGCCTTGCGATTGCGCACTTGAGCTGTCAGCTTTCCACTACTGTACCACGACCGTTGCTTCACTACTGCACCGCCCGTTGAATATGCCGACCCAAGCTAGGTAGTCCAGGTACATGCCCACCTGACGAAGTTTGTTCAGCCACAGATCCACAGCCCCTCTGAAGAGTGAGGTCGTCACAGATGTTCGCTCATGCCTGCATCGCAAACGCGAGTGACGCCGTTTCACTAAGCGGATCACTTCGTATTCGCAAAGCTCTTCGTGCGCAAAACCTTTTGTGTGTCTAGACACGGATCCGCGAGGTTGTGCCGGCCCCATCGCTCTAAGACCTGATATCGTTGTGCGCGGATCACGAGATAGCCCTGCCGGGCCATACCGCACAGGACGTTCATCACAGCCGCACCACGACCGCCTGTGTATCTCTTCTAGTCCGATCTACTAAACAAGTAACTTGGTTGTTTCATATGCCTTTGCCACGTGGACTTGGAGGTGGAAATTGCGGGGAGCGGGTCGAACAGGACGAAACCGAGTCATTTAGTAACGGACCCAATACATCCTGAGCGGAAGTACAGGCCGATGATGATGGTTACTTTGACACCGATTTTTTTCGGCTTGGCGGAAGACACTCGACAAGAACGGATCCGGATGACAGTGATGCGGTGCGCAGCTACGACGCCACCACATTCGTCAACGGACAGCCTTGAATCTGGGCGCGCTACATCACATTCCACAACGCGAGCTATGCTTCTGACCTTATGTCGGTTTGGGGAAACATCCGCGAGCTGCATGGCAGAATTCTCACACACTCATGCACAGCGATCACAGAACTGTTAGTCTTCCTGCCTCTATGAGAGCCCCCTCCCCCCTCGATCGCTGCAAGGGATGTGGTCTGGTAGGTTTGATCAAAGCCGAAACTTTGACCACTGCAGGCATTGCATAATCGAACACTTCGGTGCGGACCGTTTGTCTGGACACCTCAACCGCAGTCACGCGTCAACCTTACTTGCCAGCCAGACCAACCAGTGTGCGATCCTGCAATCGAACAAAGTCTACGACAATGATGCCATGATGAGCCGTCCATATCGTTTGATCTAGTCGTTGGCCTAATGTTTGAAACGCCTCCGATGCTGCAAGATGCGCAGGAGCCGATCTGGGTGGCTGGGTGTGTGAAAGGGCTGGATGTCGATATCCAGTGCGTGCGTTCCCCCAACGAAAGCACTGGACACAGTAAGATTGATTGGGCACCGGTGCAGCCTTCCGCCTTACATCCATTTCCTCTCAAGTAATGCCGGTACATCCTCATCTCCCATTTCCAGCTTACGGAAAAGACCAAAACGGACAGGCAAACAGCGTCCATCCTTACATCTCACGCTCAACAACGCCCAACTCGTTGAACTTGTTGAGTGAAGCAAGAAAACCGGGGATAGTGTCGTGAGGGGTGCGAGTGTACTCGTATCTAGGGCTGACTGTGTGGTTACTTGTTTTGTTCATGATCAGCAGCAAAACGGTCGCTGGTCTCTCCGAAAGAAGGACCGATGAAGCCGTTGGACATGGGGATGGCTTCGCGCCGTCCACGGCTGTTTGCTTATCTCGGAGGATCTGTGACTGGGGTTCATAATGTTACATCTGATCGCGATCTCTGCGGTCTTATTGAGATTATTGGGAGCTCTCCGCAATCATGGTGTTATTGTGGGTCGGGATATGGTATAAGGTAATCAATAATGATGCTGAATGGATGAGACTTGAGGATGAAGCTTGAGCCGCTGCGAACGTGCTGGGTTGAGGGTTGTTGCTGCCTCGAATGGCTGGTGAACCCCGCATGAGTTACGCGCGGTCGCCTTTACTTGCGCTCGAATCTACGAGAACGGTTCCCGAGAGGCTGGCTTCTCAATGTCAGATCCTTCTGTCCGCAACAGCGCAGTCCCTCCGGGAGTTCATCGAGTCTCACTGACGGGAGATGCACTCATTCGTTGACATGATGACTATTGTGTTCTCTTGAAGTTTGACATCAAATCAAAGTGGTCATTGTCAATGTACATGATTCACTTCTGCCCCTTTGCTCCGCTCATGAGCGTCATGAAAGGCGAAGACCGACGCCTTCTGTGTCCTCAAACAGCCACAGCAGTGTGCTAAACGGCGGACGTATGTGTGGGAAGACGTATCCTGGAAGCATGAATCCTCAACAGATGGAATTAACGAATCGCATCACAAATGAGAAGCCAAAACGGATGCCTCACCTAAGCCGCTGCTTAAAGTAACTGGTGGATTTCCTAATCCGCCCAACATTGTCCCGTGGCTTTCCAAGGGGTCTCTTAACAGAGGCCGATGAGATTCCGTCGGAACTCAGCATTGTTGTGTGCGCATAATTAATAGTGGACGCAAACAGCTATCATCATGTCTTCATCCGACAGCCCAATTCTTGGTTGGGTCGCCTCGGACCACCTGAAGCATGTGAAAGGTTCTCTAATTATGAATGCCGTATGGGGTCTGTCTTGTGCGTGTTGCGCTCATGACATGCCACCTAGTCAACTGCTCTCTGTTTCTGTCTAGGGAGACGTTTGCTTTACACTACTCACATTACGCTACTTTCCTGGTCTCCCACAGCAGACAGCATAGGTGAATTGGAAGACTTCCGGTGTATATGCTTCTCAAAAGTCTTCGGGAAAAGGCGGAGATATGTTCTGTTTCCCAGTTCGGCCCCCAAGGAAGTGGCTACTTACACCAATCTCCTCACAATTCTCATGAAGCATTTGCATCATGACGTGCGATATCTCTACAACTAGGGTCCACTTGTGGAGCCATCTTCCGTCGACCCTCAAACGATGTTCGGGTACAATGACTTGTGTCCTATGAACGCTTGATTAAATTGTTTGCTAGTAGTTCACCGTCTACACCGTCTGTATTCTATTGCTCGACGTCGGGATCATTTACCCCCGGTACGACGACGACGCCATGTGCATGATAAAGAGCGAAACCTTATCATCCATATATACTTGCAATGCATCTGGGCTCGTTGTCTTCATAGCGTCATCTAGTATGCCTAGAGGTTTAAGCGCGTGGACTCTTTCGTAATTAACCGCGTAGCCTTTGGTCTAGCCCGAGTTTACAGAGACCTTCCAGTCTGAAAGCAGTCAGAGGATCTGCATCTTCTTCCTTCCATAACTTCTGCATGTCCCTGTGGAAGTCTGTAGTGCTGGTCGTGATGGTAGTGCTTCTAGCATAGTTCACCGTACTAAGAAGTAAGCTCGACAGCGTTATCGATCTATTGACAATTATTCAAGGTCTTTCAAAACACCTGAGCTGTTTGAGATGAGATAGAACGCAATCACGGCACCGCGTACGGTGCTATTGTGCTAGCGGGTTGGTGATCTTCTTATAAGATGTTCGAACCTTTTGAACTCCTTTTCACTTTTTTTTCACTATTGCGGATATAGACTGACACTGAGCTCGCTCGATTTTCGATTTGGTTAATGGTTTCCTAACTGATGATAGTCCTTCTCTTACGGTACTGTTATTTGGAAATTTAGGGAAAGTTAAGCGTCTAAACGACGGTGATGCTTGTGCTACTCACGCTGAGACTCCACGAGCACTTTCTTGTCAATTCAGTGGATTGGTCTATCTGTTCTAACGTTCGAGTAGACCTTTTGCTTACATCTTGTATAATATCAAAGGCTGTAAAGACCGTGGTAGAAATCATCGTATGTGTCATGGTAGGAGTCTCCTTATCGCCCTAGGGCCGAGGAGCGACAGTAGGTGATTGTTGAGAACTGAGGTCTACGATGTAGTCAACCACACTATGGTTTTTCTGTAGAATGGACTGAGGTGTTCTTCTTGATGGCTGTCTCCAATTTGAAATCGATGCGAAGTCAACACGAGCGCCATTTCTGCCATATCCGTGCAAATTAGTAATAATGAGGACAAGATGTAATCTGGAGATGAAAATACGGGAGAGTGGCTGAAGTATGAGTATAAAGAGTATTCAGAAAGGTATTGGAAGGGTGTTAAGACGTTATTAAAGAGTTCGAAGGAGAGAGAAGCTGCTGCGTTAGTAGGAACATGAGAAAAAAGCCCGATCATCAAGGGCGTACCCCGTCCATCAATATAACTCGCTCGTTTACTATTAAATCACACTCAGCCGCCCTACCGGAATACCTGCGCATGATCAACACTCAGCACAATCGTAAACCTGAGCTGCAATTGATCAATGTCCTGTTACCGCCATTGATCCTGATACCTTCTCTTAGCAATAATAACACTGTCATCAAACTTCGTGAACTTCCGGATCTCCACAACTTCCAAGCCGGCTTGATCGATAATCCAACGCCAATGCTTCTCTCGTCGCTCCTGCGCATCAAACATTGCTTTCATAGCCAGGCTAAGCGCTGCGGTATACTCAACACCTGGGGTGCTAGCATCTGGCTTGTCGTCGGGTAGTGTCTTATCATCGATGTAAATCCTGCTTTCAGGGTTGTGTTGAAGTGCGGGTAGGTGCATTTGTAAGATTCGAATGCATGTGTCATCATCGAAGTTATGCAAAATCTGGCGGAAGTAGTATGCTCGGGCGTCTGGAGCTATCAGTGCCTGGTGCTTTTCAGGGATTTAGTAGATAGACTCACTGTGTACTGGCTGTTCAATGAGGAAGTCGTGAGCCATCAACTCCACGCCATTGACATCCAATGCTGTTTCGAGCACAGCTGGGCGATCCTGCAGGATGATACGGCCCTTGAGTTCGGGAAAAGCTTTCTTCAGCGCTGCGCATTGCGATCCGTTGCCGCCACCAACATCAACAAATACCACATCCTCCGCGCTTACACCCTTGGCGATCTCAGTGTTGAATGAGATTACATCTAGCCATGTCGGGAGACTGGCAAACTGGGCTTCCATGAAGCGGTGAAAAGCGCCTTGTTGGATCGGATGCGTTTCCATCCATGTATAGAAATCTTCATTGCTATGCTGTCCCAGCTGAAACGCGGTCTTATTTGCTTTTTGGGCCACCAGGGCTTGGTTAAGAGCTGTAAAAGCAGGAGCACAATTGTCATGACTACCAGTAGTCAGCATGGGTCCACGCCAGTAATCCTATCACTAACAAATGAGTTACGGCATCTTTGAACAACGGCACAAGCAACATATGTGTCAGTGGCGTGGCCTTGTATGTTCCTGGTGCGACTTCAACGCCCATACCCTTCGTGCACATGTAATCCAGTACAGCCTCGAGGACACCTTTCTGGAGCCCACTCGCTTGAGCGAGAACATCAAGCTGTACTCCATCTTGACTCTTCGCAAGTGCTTCGAAGATGCCTCGATCTTGGCCAATGCGTGCCGTAACAAGGGGTAGCGGCTGGATGTGGATCAGCAGTTACTGTCTGCGACAACGCTACACACCAATCACTCACGCCATATACCAATCGCTGCATAGTCTCAAACGGCTCCTCCACCGCAGTCTCCGCCTGCCGAACGGACTTCTGGAAGTCACGTTTCTGCGCATCGTTCTTAAAGTAAGCGCTGGGATCAGCGTTCAGCAGCTGCAGCTGCTCAATAAGAGCCTGAGGATCGGCTTGCGACGTCATCTTCGAGGTTGTGCAAGGTCGTGATTTGGTAACGAGCTTGGTCGCAAGCCGGGAGGCGTGAGAAGTCCTTGAAATAGTGAAGCGGCTCGGTCCAGTAGTCCACGGCTCGGACTCTCGCTTAAACAGGCAAGGTGCACCCGGCATAGTGAGCGACTAGTCCGCATACACTTGCTGGCACATCGCGCTTGACTACATGTGTAGAAGGATCGATCCTTCGTTCATGTTCACAACTGCGCCGCATGAGAGCGCATTCTTCCAACGAATCAAAGGAACGACCCATGCTCCTTCAGACGCATCGACTGTGCTTACTTTTTCGAAGCGATGTACGATTTGCCGATGTTGCGAAACCAGCCTTATGCGGCACAAATGTTTGTGAAAAGGAGCGCAAGACGCACACTTGAGATTCGACAACATCTTGACTGATGGCTATGGAGACTTGGCACTTCGTTATCTGCATAGTCTGAGTGGCAATGAGTGCACTCTACCAGCGAGATGCAGCCTCGATACCTGATCGAGGGCCCGCACTTGTCTTCTTGATGTGGGCCCTGACTTTTATTTCATTCGTTACTGTTGTTCTTCGGTTCATCTTCCGCGCGCGTAAGAACCAGATCGGCTGGGATGACATCTTCATGGGTACAACCTGGGTATGTGAATCGCGGACTAAAGTTTGCTTGCACTGACAACCTTAAGATGTGCTTCGTCGGATGGTCTGTTGTACTGACGTTGTATGCCAATCGCGGCGGCTGCCAGCACATCTGGGATGTGGAGAAGCGCGGAATGGATAATCTGACAAGAGCCATCCTGCTGAACTGGACTTCGCAGATATTCGGCATCGTTGGCGTGGCGTCCGGAAAGATTTCCATTTCGGCATTGCTGCTGAACATCATGAGAGACATGGGCTGGACGTGGCAGCGCATCTACCTCTGGAGCGTAACGATCATCTTCACGAGCTTGGTGGCCATCTCGTGCTCGCTTCTGACGTTTCTACAATGCCGTCCGCCACAGCGCTTGTGGGATCCGCGAATCGACGGTACATGCTTGGACCCTAAAGTCATGGCTGCCTATGGCATCTTTACTGGTTGTAAGTCAGTTCGATAGCTATGTATGAAGCTCAAAGTGCTCACCTTAGCAGCCTTCTACACCTTTGCCGATGCTAGTCTGGCGATGATCCCATTGACCGTCTTTTGGAAGCTCCGGATCAGCGTTCTTCAGCGCATTCAGTTATGCATCGTTTTCGGACTCAACATCCTAACATCGGTATGCTCGGGCATTAAGACGCGTCATCTTTCACAACTCGGTAATCGCACCGACCTGACGTGGGCGACATATGACATCTTTGTCTGGGTCACTGCTGAGCTCTTTCTGCTGGTCGTGTGCGGCACCGTGCCCACTCTCTATCCGCTTTTGCGACGGATACAATCGCTGTGTGTGGTGATTAGGCGCAAAGTGTTGCCGAGATCGGTATCGAACGAAGATCCTTTGAGGCAATCGGATGAGGTCTTGACGATTGGCAAGATCAGGATGCGACTGAAGAGACAAGATACTGCAATGTCGTCGAACAGCGAAAGCCAAGCGAGTACTCTTGGGCCGGCCAGGAGCTGATAGTCCAACCAGAGGGAATTCGATACATTCAAGGCGGCATTTGGCCTGGTGTCATGCCAAAATGAAGAAAGTGGGCGATAACGCAAACAGCAGGCGCTGGTTTGGTGCAATTCGCAACATCAAGGCGTGGCTACGCTTGTCAAAATCTCGGCCTAGATGGACCTAGGCACAAGCATCGTGAAGTATTGGAAAACAGCCAGGCCTACTAGAAGTGTTACAACTATATGCGGGTGTCATTGTGAAGAAGGATGAACATAATGGACGGTCCAGCACATCCCTACCACCACATGTGTCGCTGTGCTATCGCATCCAACGCAATGTATAACACTCGTCGAGAAGTGTCTCAAGTCAGCGATACTACAGCTCATTCCTTTCACCACGAGCTTGTCTCTCGCTATCCTCTGTTCCCAGCGCCCGGACCGCCTCATTACTCGCCTTCAAATGCTCAAATGCTGGTGCATCCTCACCCAGGCCCCATGCAAAAACACCTCCGAGACCCTTGTCTTTCATGATGACCTGCACCTTCCGCTTGATAGCCTCAGGCGTATCCCAAGTCCAGAACAAGTTCTCTTCAGCATCCCAGTAGTAGTGTCCACCACCAACGTCGTCGTAAACACCTCTCTCCATTGCGCGTTCGTATGATGCAGAGAGCTCTTCAGGAACGGCATCATGCCACGAGAATGCACCAGCTTTGCCTAGATCGGCGCCTGTAACGGGGTCTTCCATGAGTTCAGTCGCACAGCCGATGGGCTTGATATCGCACGTTGAGTTGACAGCTGTCTTGTACCATTTGATGTAGAATGCCAACCCAAGATTTGCTTTCTCGGGCGGTACTCCGGCATCGAGGTACGCGTCTATGGCTTCGAGAGAGTTCTGGATACCGGTATGATGCTTTGTCACGTTATCGCGACGGTTGAACAGGTCGTATGTCATAATGTTCAGATAGTCGACCGCCTCCATGATGGCGGGGACATTAAAAGGGGTGAAAGCGAGCATGTCGCGTGGCAGACCGGGGACAGCTGCTGAGATGGTCTTCTCTGGGCCTATGGCAGAACGGATTTCGGCGAGAAATTTAGGATACGCATCAATTTCCCAAGCTTTGTCAGTGTTGAGGTGGTCAGGTGTTTTGTAGTCTTCGCCGTTGCCGCCTGGGTACTCCCAATCTACGTCAATACCTGTTCAGGTCAGCGTTTGGTTCAATCACGAAAGGCCATGGGATGTGATCTACCGTCAGCGCCTGTCGCGTCAAGCATTGCTTTGACATTGCTAGCAAATAGCTTCCGGCTTTCTTCGGTCTTGGCCGCCTTTGAAAAACCATCTGTGTCTCCCCATCCGCCGATTGCAATTTGGATGATGGTACCTGCAGGGAACTTGGGTCGAACTTCGTCGATACTAGTGAAGAGCGGCCACTCATGCTGATCTGGGACGTTGAAAGTATCTGAGCGCATGAAAGCAAGAGCAACTTCGGTGATGTTTGCAACTAGCAACCGCTCTGGTACTACATTGTGCTGCCTGATAGCTATCAGCAATGTCGCGTCTCGTGATGATCGTGAATCTATAGCGCTACCCTGTCAAGTACATGATGTACTTTAGTCCAGGACTGGCTGCCGTTGCAACAGCGAACGTCGAGGCTAAGCAGAGCCATGACAAGAAAACCGCAGCCATAGCTCTCTGCGCATCTGTCGAAGACGAGGCTTTCGGGGCGCACTAAGGCGTGTTACGTGTGATGCGATAGAAGTGGTTGGTGGCGCAGACGCGTCAGGCAGATGACCCAGCCCCGCATCGCGACATTTTCGGGCTAGCGTCTTTGGTAGGTATACCCAAATGCCTAGGCACCAAGCTCATGCCATCGGCATAGCAGGGCGTTAACAACGAGGAGAAGTGACTCTCGAAAGGCTTGCACCTGCTTATCATGCCTTATCAGGCTGAATGTGGTGGTGGCTTAGGACGACGCGCGATTGGTGGGAAAGAGCCGAGAGCTTTAGCCTTCCTGTCGGAGGTGTGTCATCTGCACATCTCATCTTCAGCCTGGTCAGTCTGCTCGACAGATTTAACCACAATTCATCACATCCCTTCGGTATCTGAACCGTCACCTTTTTATGAGCGTTAGTTCGCAGAAGTCACCAGGGAAAAATCATGTCTTCGCACATCACTGCCTGCTGTCCAGCGCAGTATGAACCTCTAGACCCGGCTCTCAAAGAGATACGTGTTCTGGAAGTTGCGCCAGCGAGTGGTGACGGTATCGTCGAATGCACGATGAGTCCCATCTCCCTCCTTGACAATCCCGTACCAGTCTACGAGACCATCTCATATTGCTGGGGGCCACCTCGAGCTCCATCTACGATAAAGCTCAATGGGCGTCTGACACCCGTACCGGCAAGCTCAGAGGCCGCAATACGACGCATGCGACTCAGCGACAGACCGCGAACACTCTGGATTGACGCCATATGTATCGATCAGTCGTCGGTGACAGAACGTAGTGCGCAAGTGGCTTTTATGTCGACCGTCTATCGCGCTGGAATGCGTAACCTCGTTTACCTAGGCGAAGATGACGGTATGGCAGAACGAGGTGTGAAGGCTGTTCAGGACGTTGTTGCCGACATGCGTACTGCGACAAACGATTTGACCATGCTAGCCCAGACCATCTTTGTTGAGCACACTGGCGAACATTTGACTTCGGACGAAGGATTCAGCGAGGACATCGACTTCGAGGCTCTTGAGGTTTTCTTCAGCCTTGAATGGTTCAGGTAAGACCGCACACCAAGCATCATAGAGCGTTCGTGGTTGACTTTCACGATCGAAGACGTTTGTGGGTACTCCAGGAAATCGTTCTCGCAACGTCTAATACCTGCTATTGGGGCAATTTCGAATTTGATCTTCTGGTTACAGTAAGAACTGCATCATGGATCAATTATAAGAGACGTTTCGTACCTCACAGCCTGCTCAATCGCGCTGGTTATTACTGTGCCTTTGAGATGTTCGACCATCTCGACCGCGATAACGGTCGCTTTGCGAACTACAGACATATGGCTGCAATGTTGGATACGGCCCAGCGTTTTGAGAAGACCGAGGATAGGGACGGCATATACGCCATTCTGGGACTCATCGATCAAGACAAAGCTCTAGAAGGACATGAGGCGGCATTACTAGAGGTTGATTATACCAAGCCGATTCCTGATGTTTTGCGAGACGCTACGAGGTATGCGTTAAGCGAACGCAACGACCTGGAAGTTTTAACGAGGCTCGCTCATGATGTTGATATGTTGGCGGACTTTCAGACCTTTCCAACATGGACTGTTCGTGCAGACGTGCAGGACCGTTCGCGGAACGCCTTTTATCTGCCATATGTTTATAACTCCTCGGAGGGTCTTGAAGCACCATCCCTGCTCAGCGACACATCCTTTGGCAAGAACGTGCTGTTACTTCAAGGAATAGTGGTCGATCAAGTCGTTCAAACGACCATCATTTGTGACTACAGTACCTGGTGGGATGATGAAAAATATTTCCAATGGCTTGTATCAATTAAGCACATGACTACAGGTCATAATGACATTGCAATGCTAGATAACGTCGATCTAGCCATAGCTGATACATTGGCAGCCGGCCAGACGAGAAGTAGGAAAAAAGCACAGCCGGATGATTTGAAGGTACTAGTGGGGTACATCGAGAGCTTGACTATTCGCGAGGACGGTATCGTTTCAGATGGCGTCAGCATCAAATCACACGTTGATAAGAAAGAGATGAGAGCTGCGCTTGAATCTGTGTATACGTACTGGTGTCAGGGCCGTCGTTTGTTTGTTACCGCAGCTGGACGCACGGGTCTAGGGCCTCGTTGCATGCAACCTGAAGACATCGTCGTGGTCCTAAGGGGAGGTCTCTCGCCCTTTATCTTGCGAAAGAAAGTCGACGGCTATCAGCTGATTGGTCAAGCTTATGTGCATGGCATAATGTACGGCGAGGCGGTGGAATTGGACAGAAGTCGAGGCAAGTCGGAGGTGGTGTTTCACGTGCGGTGAAGACATCTCTGAACATGAGATGGGATGTGCAAAAAGAATGTCAAAAACATACAACAGCGAGGGTTTGCCAGTGGTTATCCACCAAACTACTAACCCGCTAGTACATTGGTTGTTCATGGCTGAGCGGACGGGAAGCCTAGTCTGCTCTCGTCTGATCACCATGAAGGCCCCAAAATCTCCTGTTCTCGGTGATTGACCTGGGAACACTTAGGCCCGTTTTTAGGTTTTGAGTCGCTATGGCTGGAGAAAACAGCCCCGCATTTACTATGGAGTGTTTCAACAATGTTAAAGTAGCCATGCGGCGGTTCGATCGATATACTTTGATTGGATAGAGCGGGGTGCGTGCACGTTGGTGCGTATCGCTGATGAGACTCCGCTGTGTCTACTGGCCATACCCATACGTGTGGCAGACGCCGGACTAGTAAGCTACAGCAGAACATGAAACCGAGCTCTACGTGTACAAGCGCATCGAGAAGCCCCCATGGACCACCCAGACCGTGACGTTGTCCGCTTTCTACCTGGTACCTTCGACGTAAGCGGACCGCACGGATGATAGCGTCGTGAATATCGGGATGTCTTCAACACACTCATTGCTACATTTGCAATTCAACCCACACCGAAAGAGCTGGATACGACGGAAGATTGGAGAAAGACCGCATTCGAGGACGCCACGATTGGTCAGAAAATTCTTGTTGGATAAGTGACGTTCGAAGTACCTACCCTCTACTATCGTCCGATCCTCAACACAATGGCCCGCTTTTAGTGCCTGCTTACGCGACACGTTATCAAGAGTCCTCACGTGGGAATTCTCGCTACTGCTGGGCTGAGCGCAGAGATCACCTGATGCACCTGGACGTGTAAGGCTCCTGCATTAAGTTTGGCGTTACTTGAGGACATAAACTATCATGTTTGGCGTGCGCTGTAAAGACACCGGTCAATACATCGCGTTCAGTATGCGACGTGTAAACCCTAATGAATCCATATTCATGTGTAAGGTAGGTGCTCAAAAGCGTATCGTTAACCTAACGGCTTACAGGTGCTCCGAGAATGCCATTGTACTGGAGTCGTGTCTCCTTGACAGAGTCTGGATGCCGAAGTATGGAGACAACTTAGGAATGTCGCTTGGAGCGGCAAAACCCACTCAGTGAGGGGGTGGGTTTCTCCACAAAGAAGGCTATCATTCAGCCTTGTCATCAGCCCCCAACTCCTTATCGGTGGCCTTCCTGCATGTCTGTCTTGATGCGTCTTGGCAAGCCTCCTTGTTAAAGAGTGGAAGAGAGAATGCGCTATCTGGTCAATCATCTCCGCGAGCAACCCTCCTTACAATTCGGTCTCGGCCCCCCTTTTTTGACAGTGCAGCGGTTAGTGTTAAAGCGGCTCATATCTGCAATCAAGTTTGATTCCCTGCCAATAGCATCACTCTGCCTGGCTTCTTTCCAAAGCTGCCTAAAGATAGGCCTGAGATGTATGGCTATGGATTCAGCTTCGATGTGTTGCTCGGTTGTGGGGCTGTGCACCACAGGATAAGTAGTGCACCAGCCCTTATATTGAAGCATAGCCTTGATGTCTTCCATGATCAAGTCCTTGTAACCTTTCATCATCAATTGCCTCACATGGCGGACCCTCTCAGCATCATAGGCCTTGCGTTGACGGTCATACAGATTCTCCGTCCAGCAGTTCAACAGTTGAAGGACGCGTACTCTAAGGGGGGTAGCGTTCATCAGTCCTTGGACGAACTTCGAGCCGACTCAGAGGCTGTTTGCGACCTGATTGATAACATACATCGCGTTCTCAGGGCCCCGAATTTCGTCGCTGCGGTGGAAGAAGTGCAAGGCGAGTCGCAAGTCGACTTGCTAGAATGTCTCCAACGAGCTCTTCGAAGCTGCGAGCGTGAGGCTCAAAGACTCAGCAATCTCCTCTACGATCTTGACATCTCAGGGGCTACAGGCCGCCTAAGACAAGGCATGCTTCAACTGAAGCTTGATAGACGCTCGGATGATCTGCAACACATCAAACGCAACTTCCAAGATCATAAGAGCTCAATTCAGTTGGCGTTTCAGGTCGTCACAACGTATGTCGACCCTTTTTGAGCAACCATCGCAATGGCTGACGAATTCTTCCAGTTGCAAACAAATGCAGATTGCTGAACGTGATGCTCTTAATGCCGCAATGCTGAAAGCTCAGATCAGTAAACTCGAGGTGGCTTTAGAGCAAATGGCAAAATTGCTGAACGAACGCCTAGTATCGCCAGGAGACAAAGAGCAGACAGTGCTGCTAAGTGAGATGCAAGAGTTCCAGCATAGTTCTGCAAGAGTCCGACGTCAAGCCACAATGCGACTCGACCAGATTACGTCTATACTCGAGGAGACGCAGAGCTCACGTCCTATCTTCAACAAAACCCGCCCTCATGTACCACCGCGAAGGGCTGGCAAGGGCCGCGAAACACCGCCTGCAGGAGGAGATCCGCCAATTGACCAAAGTCCAGCCTCGAAGGTACTGTCAACGCCAACGACGCCAAGAGTGGAGAAACGTGTTGCAAGCATGCCGACCACCCCGACCCCACCAGCAATCTCGCAAGTGAACGCCTTGAGCCCGGAAACGAACAAATTGCCCTCACCAGTGCTGCCAGCCACACGTTGTTTAGATACGACTACAACTAGTCTGCATATAGGAGCTGAAGATTTCGAGGAGAGGTTATCGTCACTTTTATTGACCGCGTCTGCCCAGCGTATGGGTACCGATAAGCCATACAACGACGAGACAATTCTGGGGGTTGGCGAACTACTCGCAAGACTTGGAAAGCATGACTGGAGTGTACGACCCAGATTATATCTCGTTCTCCGGATGATCAAAGAAGTACGAGCGATGAACATGCTCATTATCGAAGGGTTCAAGGACATTCACTTCCCTTTCACTGAAGCTGACCTCACTTCCAGTCTCAAATCCGCTGCTTCCAGGCAAAGCTTTCTTCGACAACAACGGTATGTACTTAGCTCAAGATCAATCGATCTGGTGCAAGGGGGCCGTCATCATCATCTCGGTAAGCTACAGTTCTATAAACCGTTCGCTGCTGACTTTCAGCAGACAAAGGTGCAGACTCATATTTTGTCACCAAGGAGCAGCTTGGAAAAGGCGGCTTCAGCATTGTCCATCGTGTTCAAAGCAGGATTGATTTGATGGAATACGCTGTAAGGACTTGGAATGTGGTTTGCTAGATATTTGACTCATCAGCAACAGCTGAAACGCATCGATCGAAGAAGTGGCACGTTTTCAAAGGACCGCAAGAAGTTGCTGTCGTTCGAGAATGAGGTCCATAACCTCAAGCGTCTGTCGCACCATCATCTAGTGAAGCTCCTAGGGTGAGTTTGGGCAAGCCGAAGTACAGTACGCTGCTAACGAGCAACGTGTCAGTTCATACACCGATCGAAGATACATTGGCATCATCATGGAACCAGTAGCTGATCTGGATCTGCAACAATATCTGACCCGAGATGTTTGGACTACGCAAGACTATGTCGTCCTTCGGGGCTTCGTGGGATGCTTATGCTCCGCTCTAGTCTATCTCCACCATAACAAATGCCGCCATAAAGATCTGAAACCATCCAATATCCTCATCAAAGGCGAGCAAGTGTATATAGCAGACTTTGGACTCGCCTTAGACTGGACTGAGGCGCAACGGGAGACTACGATGGGTCAACCCGAAGCTTATACACCGGCATACATCGCACCCGAAGTGAATCCAGCTACACATGATGAGCCGAATCTTTGCTAACACTATCTCAGGTTGGAATGTTACAACCTCGCAATACTGCGTCAGATGTATGGTCGCTAGGATGTATTTATCTGGAGATTGCAGTGCGTTAGAAGTCGCTTTTACGTATGTTTCAACACTGCTGACACTTCCAGACTGTTCTTACCAAGAAACAATTGCGATCGAAGGCTGAATTCTTCCAAAACAAAGGGACACTCTCAACGAACTATTGGCAGAACCCAGAAGCAATCCAGAGTTGGATAGCCGAGCTGTCGGATGAATCAACGAGTGATCAGCCCTTGCTACAATGGACTGGTAACATGACAGCCAGTAATCCTCAACTGAGACTCACAGCTGAAGATCTCCAAACGATGATAGCACAGGAACAAGCCAAAGGAATCCATTACAGCGGTCCATGTTGTGCAGACGAGGGTGTGACTGGAGATGGAAGTGATACAACATCTTGGGAAGGCTCGCAGTCAGGAGATGAGACCTTTCAGACGGCGGTACTGAGCAATGGCATGTCAAACGCACCTACTGTCATCAACGACACTACGACGGCATCCATTGGTAGTGACGTGACGCTTCTGGCACCTCCCACGAAGATTGAAGAGACGGAACATACGGCTTCCCATATACCGAGATATTTCGGTCATCATTCCGCAGGAGGTGTCGGTCAGTCGCACCCTATATGGCTCAACGTCGGGAACGATACAAATGTACCCTTATGCGCCACACCTGCGGCTGTGACCGAAGACAGCTACCCAAGACCGGCAACGCCTGGTACGGAAAAGATCGAGGATTTGGATAAAACTCGTGCCGACATACCGGAGGTGCAAGTAACGAAAGCAAAACACATAGCCAGGGATCGTACAGGCAAACGTACTGATCATGAGCACGAAGCGACTCACTTGCGATTCGTGCATATACCAAAGGCCGCAGAACCCACGAATGAGGAAGACCCTTGTCTTACCATCAGTCTTGCGGAAGCGTTTGTAGCCGACGACGGCGCATTTGAATCTCACATGGCCCTTGCGAGGGAGAAAAACCCAAACTGGAGAGATGAAATCACTGGTCTGATCGCGGCTGAGGCTCTCGACAAATACCAAGCTAATGTTATGCTTGTCGCCAGCAACTTCTTCGACGACTCTCTCGCACGTGACGTGATCGAGCACGCTCTCTTTGTGGATCCACAGATCCTCAATCGGCGCGATGTGTTCAACCATACTGCGTTGCATTACTCGGCGAACAGACACAGAGCTGGTATGGTAAAGTACTTGATCAAGAAAGGTGCCAATGCAACGATCACGAGCATTCGAGGCCAGACTGCTTTCCATGTTGCAGTCCATCGACGAAGCTTAGAGACTTCCAAAATTCTGCTCCGCTACCTTGGCGTAGCAGATGTCAATACCAAAGACGATTGTGGTCAAACTGCACTGCATCTGGCCTGCTATCATGACGCGCCAACAGAAATCATTTTGGGGATGGTGGCGGCTGGTGCTGATGCAAATGTCAAAGACTTGGTTGGCACAACACCACTGAATATCAGCGAGAACATTGGCAACCTGGAGATAGCCAATGTACTACGAGAGCATGGAGCAGACGAACCCGAACTTTCTCCGCCACCGCCACTGTATCAGAGCACAATTTCCCTCGCCCGTCAACAGGAGCCAGCTCATTGCCCGTGTGATATCTGTTGTTTGTTCCAGGCAGTCAGCGAAGTTGGCGATCTCGTGCCTGATCTGGCATTTTGCACGTGCGCCTACCATCTGGTAAGCCTCTCATTACAGACGTTGAGCGATGTGAACGTGGTAGTGTCGTGCCTGAATACGTGCACGTGTTCGTCTTGTGAAGGAGAGCGCATCCTGAATGAGAATCGAGAGCCCTGCGTTCAGATTCCTTCTTGCGACTGTGAAGAGTGCGTGGCCCAAATCAGCCCACCAGGGCCGTTCACGAATCCTCCTTCTCTACCCTACAGAGATGATTTTGCTGGCCAGCCGCTACCTCCGTATCCAGATCATAGCTATTACGACTATATCATCGATGAGTACACCATGGAAGACGATACCGGACCATCGCCACAAGAGATAACTGCCCAGGCCTTGGCCTGTCTTGCCCAAGCTGGATTCAAGGGAAAGAAATCGTATCGAAATGAGCCAGAGAAGGCACTTAAGTGGGTCATTAGTAACAACGCCACTACACCTTGGGTTGACAAGATTGTTGAAATTCTCCTAGACTGCGGAGCGTCAGTCAATACGACAGACAAGAGTGGGTGTACTGCCCTTCACATAGCTGCTCGAACGCAAGATGTTCGTTTAGCCATGGTGCTTATTCAACATGGGGCACAGCTTGACGTTCCTCGTCAGGCAATGTTCGCAGCTAAAGCAGATTTCACCCCTCTCAGATACGCCCTCTGGTTCAATAACGCGCTATCGCTTCGACAGCTCTTGTCAGCAGGCGCAAATATCAATGACCAGTCAGCGAATGCTCAGAGTACACTACTCCACGATGCGGTCACACATTTCGATCTCCTAGGCTGGCATATACCGATGCTCTTAGCGCATGGCGCCAATACAGAACTAGAAGATGAGGACGCAAATACACCGCTTCATCTTGCTATCTTGCTGAATCAGAGATTCGCTGTCGTTGCACTCCTAGATGCGGGAGCCAACATCGAAGCCATCGGAAAAGCTGGCGCGAAGCCGTTAGCCATGGCGCTTGAAGGCGGCGACTACGGCATCATCACTCTCCTCCTTGAACGCGGTGCAAACGTACACTCACGTGCTGACGGAATGACATGCGCGTTATTCTACGCAGTACAAATGGGCTACGTCGATATAGTGAACATACTCCTTGAAGACTACGGAGCAAGAGAGGACATTCATCGCACTGATCTCACAGGCCGAAGTATTCTACACGTGCTTGTGCATACACATGTCGATTGTATGCTCAGTATACTCGACAAATTGATTGGAGAAGGCGCGAACGTGAATGCAGAGGACTACTCTGGATCGACGCCGCTACACGAGGCCGCGAAGCTGGGGAGTAGTGTAATGGTCAGTGGGCTGCTGGAATATGGGGCTACGATCAATGTACAGAATCGTCTGGGCAAGACTCCGTTGGATCTTGCGCAGGCGAAGAAGCATCGTGAAGTTGTGGCGTACTTAGGTGGGACGATGAAGAAGAAGGGTTGGTTTCGCCGGAGTTAGGACTTTCTTTCTATTCGCATTAATGACCTACTTCTGCACTGCGATAACTTTGTAATTCAACACGATTTCAGCCGTCTAATCTCAGTGAGACCCTTACACCTAAGAATAGTGAGCTGGTTACGGGCGCTTGATGTTCACTACATGACCCTAATACGGTATCTTGATATTTGATGAGTCGGAACTATGTTCTAATTTTCAGTGTCCGATGATCACATGTAAAGAAAATGGTGGTTAGTCAGATGTATGAAGGAATCAAAACAAGTGACAGCTCTACACCAAAATGCGCATAGCGGACGTCGCTGCCCATAGCTATCGTATTGCGTACTTCATCAGGGTTGTGTGGATAGGCAAAAAAATGTCAAAAACATACAACAGCGGGGATTCGCTAGTGGTCACCCACCTAACTACTAATCCGCCGGTACACTGCTTGTATATGGCTGAGCGGACGGGAAGCCTAATTTTCAGTGTCCTATGGTCGTATGTGAAGGGAAAAGTGGATGTCCCAATATATGAAGCCGGCAAAACAGATGGTAACTCTACATCAGGGAGGAGGTCGAAATTCGCTACAAACCGCCATTGTATCGCGTACTAAGCCGGAGTTGTGGGTCGTGGGCCCTTGGTGTCTAGTGGGCACGGTTCTCGACTTGCAGTGCCTGCACGCGTGTCGCTAAGTGGGCCGACGTCGGTCGAACCTTAGATTTGATTTATATGAGTTGGCATTGTTCTACAAGCTGCAAGCATGTCTTTGGCCTTGTTGTAGGAAGCTTATCGGAATTTGTATATGATACGGCAGGATCCTCGCTGCCATTGGCATAGTCGTTGAGGTTTTCGGCATAGTGAGCATAATGGGCAGAGTTGCTTCGGTATACGGGCTCATGCGCGGTGGAAAATGATGCATGTATCGGTCAAAATCTTGTTGTCGCTCTGGTCCTCCAATTGTGGAATCGGTCGTGTAGAGGTTGTCGATGATCCTTGTTGGCAGTAGACGCGGTGTTGGTGATGCGACTGTGCCGCACCGCGCCGCCACATGGAGTCCCAACGCGTTCACGTCACGAAAAGTCGCGTCGCTCGAAACGCGTAGCACGTGAACATGACCCGACGTCGACATGATGGATCTCTCGACGGAACATCGGATTGGTCTTAGTTCCATCTGGGGATGGCTTGCTTCTTAACCACCTAGCTATACATCATACCCTTCCTCGGTCTCTGAACGTCCGTCGCCAACCCCAAAACCAACCTTCGATTCGCAGTCCCGGACAGGAACTGCCCATTGTCATCCACCACCTTCTCACCGAACTGCACACGTGGTTCGCGCGCAGTACCTCGATATGTGTTATCATCTGAAACCGCATTTTTGCCAGCGGCTTTCAGTAGCGGCGCCTCGAACGCCGATGCCAGCTCCAACGGACCCATGGAGAACGGCCTTCCCAATTTCCACCACCCGTAGAATGTTGCACCGACTGCGATGATGCTCAGAACACTTAGTATGGCTGCGGCGATCATGTACTTTGGGTCTGTGATGTAGATTGATCGAAGCTGGTATCCGCGATACTCTACGGATTGGACGGCATTAGTGACGTTGTGGGTGCTGGTATCTTTACCTGCCTGTACTGCTGTACGGAAAGTGATTTCTCGTAGCGCGTCGAGCATCTGGTCCATTGGGTCTTGAACAGTGGCCTTACCAGTGCCGATGTTATTGATTTTTACCACCTGATTGGCAAGGGATCCTGTGAACACAGCACTGAACCTTGTGCCGCCCCATTTGTAGTTCACACTCGACCCGAAGAGGTAAGACGCCGCATACTGGAAGCCTCCGACGGTAGAGCCGGTGCCTTGTCTGTAAGGATCATCCAGTGTACTACAAGACCATCAATCTTTGTGTGAGGCTAGAAGGGTCGGAGGAAAGACGACTTACACGGCTTCGATAAACTCGTCGTCGGAACGTTTGGTGCTGAGTTGAGCTGAGTTTGATGAAAGTTCAAAATGGTATTCCATTATGCTGCCTGTTAGGAGACAGATGTGCGATCGCAATCGGAACACCTGCGGGTCTGTTTGACCATCAGCATCGCCGTCTTGGAGTGGGACACTGTAGGTAGCGTTGAAGCGTATACCAGTATTTTCCCACCCCGTAAGGTTGTCGACTCCGGTAACAGTAGATGGATCGTCGTTTGGGTCGTCGACGTTGTAGAGACTTGAGCTCACAGAGAAAAGCTGTTGCTCGTATGATAAGCTCCCGTCGTGCGAAAAGACCACTTCGCTAGTGTCGCATCGTGATGTGAATCCGAAACCCTGGTACATTAGCTTTAAGACGTTGAGAGATGTGCACCTCTATTGTCAATACCTTTATAGTTGTTGAGCAGGACTCGCCACAAGAACTAGCTCCAGTATCGATGGTTATGTTCGATCGCAAGGAGTATTCTTGCATGATTTCGGCGAACGTCGGAGTCAGACTTGTGATTGTCCGACTTCTGACTCTACCGTCATCGAGTACGCCAGTATATCCAGTCGGTAGTTGTTGTGCGACGGCAAGAGACATGTTGCCGGATGTATCGTACCTGACATTGCTTTGCACAGCAGAAGCTCTTTGGTTCAATGGCCCCCGAAGAACGGACACACCAGACAAGATGCATGCTGTTTATCTTTAGCTGAGGTTCTTGCTTAGAAGATCAACTAACCTAGAGCAGCAATTCTGCCTCCAGCGCGATAGCCTTGCGAGAGAGCTTGTTTGAGCGATTGTCCACAAAGCCAGCTGCGATTAAGCTCTGGTAGCTATTCACTGTTAGCGAAATCACCCTAGGTGCAGAGAACTCACGGTGTGACCTTGTAGGGTGTTCCTCCAGAACAGAATCGTAAGGCCTTCGGTGAGTGCATAAGCCAGCGATGCGTTGCATACAACAGAAACGATGGCAAGGTACACAGCTGGGGTGATTCCGTAACCCCAGTTGTCGATAGGCTTGTTATTGCTGTTAATCAGGATCGCAATCGCTCCGATTGTGCCTAGATATTGTAGCATCAATAGAGGGGATTGACAATTGTGTTGAGAATGGATACGCACCTATAACGACAGCAAGAAGTGCCAGCATCCCAAGCACTGGGAAGCGCCTCCAAAATCCAGGTGTCCATCTTTTAGCTTGAGAGGACCAGGTATCGGCCTTCGGTCCCCTAGGCTGCACAGGTTTCCTCGCAGCTGCATCACTGGTAAATCTCTCCGCGGCTGTAACAGGAAGAAGCTCTAGTTCGGTCTCGCCTTGAGAGAAGCCTGGCTTGTGTTGAGACATTTGGTATCCGTTGTACCGAAAATCCCGGCCTTGAGACATGGTTGAAATGTACAGCAAGAATAATGTTTTCCACTGTATGTGAAGAAGAAAGGGTAAGACCAGGAGACAATGCTGCCCGTATCGTACGCATTTCAAGGCCAACTGCAGCCTACCTTGATAACTTATCGGAAGCGAAGCTTGACAGTGTGAAGCGAATAAGTGTGGAAAAGATGCATGGTGAGTAGGGATATTCCCAGGCATTTACCAATAGACACCAGGCTGGCTCCTTACAGTAGACGCCACAGATGGGTCTGAGGCGGAGGACATCCCATTAGAGAATCATTTCAACCCCCACTACAAGCCAAAGCGCAGCCTTGCGTGCGAAGGAGCAGAGCGCAGGCGCTAGACAAGACGACAAACGAATGAGGTGAGTTATTGCGGCTGTATCTCGCTACAGTATGTTGATGGTCAAACACTACTAATGCGACTTGGTCCGTTCAACCCGGAATGTGAGAGAATGCAAACCTGAGTGAATATAAGTAGCGATATCTCGTCTCTGGCAACGTATTTGCAACATGCCGGACAACTCGAGCCTCGACGAATCAAGAATCAACGGAATAGATGGGAAGCGTAATGGTCATATGACCTTGGGTAGCATGAATGAAACCGGTGGATGATTAGGTAGCGAAGCAGGAGGCGTTGGGCGGGCATGAAGTGCCCCACCACTTTCCTTTTTCCGATCTCGAGCCACCACTATGGCCGTACGAGGTCAGCATTGACCGTTATGGTGCGAGTTGGTGATGAACAACTTCCCCAGTGCTGGTGCAGGTTGGTGTTGGAATGGCATGCGCACGTGATCTGGTGTTCTGACTTCTGCGAACCTGTTCGCCGGGATGGGGATCGGACAAAGACCGGCCCATTGGTTCGCGACGTTTGCGGCAGTGTTGCACGCGGCGACGGTACGTACCTAGGTACGCGCCTCCACACGACAGCCACACAACCGTTATGCCGCGCGGGATCGTTTATACAAAGAATCTACTTGATTCAGGTCGTTCATATCGTCACGTCGTCGCATCGTCTATTACCACATATGGGACGTTAGCTGCCTGCCTAGCTTGCGGCGTTATCGGGAGTTAGGGCTAGTAAGCAGCAATGATTATATCATACCGACGGCCCGAGCTCTTTACTCAAAAGTGCACTCGCGCCGCGACCGCTTCAACACCTTCTCGCCGCTTTCGACGCCCTGTTTTGCCTCAACTCTGCGACACACAGAGTCCCGGCAATCACAAGCACCATCCGATCGATGCAGGGCCAACAACAGACGCCCTTTCTCCCCAGCATCCCGCTCGCGCACGGCTATCTGACAGCCTCGAAGCACGACCAGCAGCCATTATGCGGTAATAGCGAGGGCTGGGGCCCGATCAGCCCTATACGATACGACTTCACACCGTGTTTCCTGGATGTGTGGATAGCCGTCGTCGGAGTGTTTGGGATTGTGGGAGGCGCCGGCGCGTTGTGGTATCTCTACAGGAAGTGCCCGCCTCAGCCTGTGAAGCGCAATTGGCACTTTTACGCGAAGCTGGTACGGAACATTACCAGAGACCATCAGGTGACTCAGCTGAACAGTTGCTAACACTTTGCGCCGCCAGATATCCCTCGGCGCCCTCATCGCCACCACGGCCGTACAAGCCGCGCTTCAGATCGAGTACTACAAGGACGTATGGGCCGGCGACTTCCGTTTCTGGACATCGATCATCACCATCGTCTCACTCGGCGTCGTCTTCTATATCCAGTACATCGAACACTGGCGCTCGCGGAATGCCAACGGCGTGGTCCTCTTCTACTGGCTCTTCCTGCTCCTCGCATATGCCGTCAAGCTCCGCTCCCTCGTTTCACAACAGGTGCATCGCGAACATGTGGCATACTTCGCAATCTTCTGTGCTAGCGTTGGGTTGGCCGGATTATCTTTCATTCTGGAATGGCTGGTCCCGAAGCGCCTGAGCGACTACGACATGCTTGGAGACGACGACGAATGTCCATACGAATACGCCGACGTCTTCTCCGTCTTGACATTTGGCTGGATGACACCTCTGATGAAGCAGGGCTACAAGACTTTCCTTACCCAGGACGATCTTTGGAACTTGCGAAAGCGCGACACGACTCGCCACACCTCGCAAACGTTTGAAGATTCTTGGCAATATGAGATGGAGAAGAAGCACCCTTCGCTGTGGCTGGCCATGTTCCGCTCGTTCGGCGGTCCATACTTCCGCGGCGCTGCCATCAAGACTGTGAGCGATGTCCTGAACTTCGCTCAACCTCAGTTGCTCAGACTTCTGATCACCTTTGTCGATTCGTACCGCAAGGACTACCCCGGAGAGCCTCAGCCTCTCATTCGTGGCGCCGCTATCGCGCTCGCCATGTTCGCCGTGTCTGTCTCCCAGACCGCCTGTCTGCATCAGTACTTCCAACGTTCTTTCGAGACTGGTATGCGCATTAAGTCGTCCCTCACGGCTGCCATCTACTCCAAATCTACTCGTCTATCCAACGAAGGTCGTGCATCGAAGTCAACTGGTGATATCGTCAACTACATGGCCGTGGATACACAGCGTCTGCAGGATCTTGCGCAATACGGTCAACAGCTGTGGTCTGCCCCATTTCAAATCATCCTGTGCATGCTCTCACTGTACCAGTTGCTCGGTGTTAGTTGTTTCGCAGGTGTGGCCGCCATGTTCGTAATGATTCCCATCAACGGTGTGATTGCACGATGGATGAAGACTCTGCAGAAGGAGCAAATGAAGAACAAGGATTCGCGTACCAAACTCATCTCTGAGATCCTCAACAACATGAAGTCGATCAAACTCTATGCTTGGACAACCGCCTTCGCCAATCGCTTGAACACCATCCGTAACGACCAGGAACTCAAGACCCTGCGCAAAATTGGTGCAACTCAAGCATTCTCGACTTTCACCTGGTCTACCACTCCATTCTTGGTCTCCTGCTCAACTTTCGGTGTATTCGTTCTGACGCAAAACCGTGCTTTGACGACTGACATTGTTTTCCCTGCTCTGACGCTCTTCAACCTCCTCACATTCCCGCTTGCTATCCTTCCCATGGTCATTACTGCCATTGTTGAGGCTAGCGTAGCTGTTGGCCGCATCACTGGATACCTGACCGCCGATGAGTTGCAGGAGGACGCTGTTATCCGTGAAGACGCCGTGGCTGAGATCGGCGACGAGTCGGTTCGCATCCGTGATGCTAGCTTTACTTGGGACAGGAATGCTGAGCGCCGAGCCCTTCACGACATCAACTTCACCGCGCACAAGGGAGATCTCGCGTGTATCGTCGGCCGCGTTGGTGCAGGGAAATCCTCGCTTCTTCAAGCAGTCCTCGGTGATCTTTGGAAAATCCATGGTGAGGTTGTGCTTCGTGGAAAGACCGCCTATGTTCCACAGTCAGCCTGGGTTATGAACGCTTCTGTTCGTGAGAACATTGTATTTGGCCATCGTTGGGATCCTCAGTTCTACGAGAAGACTGTCAACGCCTGTGCTCTACGAGATGATTTTGCATCACTTCCTGATGGTGACCAGACCGAGGTTGGTGAACGAGGTATCTCACTTTCGGGTGGTCAAAAGGCTCGTCTTACACTTGCTCGTGCTGTATACGCTCGCGCGGATATCTATCTTCTGGACGACTGTCTGTCAGCTGTTGACCAGCACGTCGGACGCCATCTCATCGACAACGTACTTGGTCCCAAGGGTCTGCTTGCAGGCAAGACCAGGATTCTGGCAACCAACTCTATCCCGGTCTTGATGGAAGCAGACATGATCCTACTTCTACGCGAAGGCAAGATTTTGGAGCGAGGCAGCTATGGACAACTAATGGCCATGAAGGGCGAGATTGCCCAACTGATCAAGACATCCCAAAACGAAGACCAAGGAGAAGATGACAGCACCCGCACATCCGACAGCATCATGAGCGACGAAGACTCTACCGTCTACGGTGGTAGTCCCGGCGAAGACGACGAGGAAGATCAAGCTGAAGCTGAGGCTGCCCAGGAAGGTGGCGCGCATCTCGCTCCTCTGAGGGTCGGAGGCGGTACGGCCCGCAAGTCGAGCTTCCAGACTCTTCGCCGCGCCAGCACTGCAAGTTTCAAGGGACCTCGTGGAAAGCTGACCGATGAAGAGGGCGGCGGATTGAAGAGCAAGCAGACCAAGGAGTTCTCCGAGCAAGGCAAGGTCAAGTGGTCCGTCTACGGCGAATACGCAAAGACCAGTAATCTTGCAGCTGTTACAATCTATCTGCTGCTCCTCCTGGGAGCCCAGACCTCATCAATTGGTAAGTCGCAGGATCATGGGTGCTTCTATATCGCTACAGGCGTGAGTAGCACGCTATTGGCTCGTCGCTTTTTCGTCTTCTTGGGGTTGACGCTAACATCATGCAGGCGCAAGTGTATGGCTCAAACATTGGTCGGAGATGAACCAGAAGTACGGTGGGAACCCTCATGTGGGGAAATACATCGGTATCTACTTCGCGTTTGGTGTGGGATCTGCTGCCCTAGTCGTCGTGCAGACGTTGATTCTCTGGATTTTCTGCTCCATCGAAGCTAGCCGAAAGCTACACGAGCGGATGGCGTTTGCCATCTTCCGCTCTCCAATGAGCTTCTTCGAGACAACACCTGCAGGACGCATTCTCAACCGATTCTCAAGGTAGGTCATCTTCCACACTTAGGTTCATGCCCGCGGTCCGGCCCTTGCCCCTTGATAACGGTGTTTCCGCCCTCCCGCGGACCATGCACCTTGACCCTGTTTGCATATCAACACTGGCTAACCTGCTTGACAGTGACATCTATCGAGTCGACGAAGTTCTAGCGTGAGTCGATTACTATGCTTCCAACCATCTGCCGGTGGCTTTCTAACATGTGCTTCTAGCCGAACGTTCAACATGCTCTTCGTCAACTCCGCTCGAGGTATGCAGCCGCCCCCACATGCATCCCATTTTGTATCACAGTCGACTGACCGATGTAGCCGGGTTCACCCTTGTTGTTATCTCGTGGTCGACCC